AAAGCGTGCGGGTTGCGCGCGACTGCGGCACAGTAAAATAAAAATAATAAAACTTCTCTAAAAATGAGATTAAACTAAATAAATTCGGTAGCACACTAACCTGATGACTTAGGACTCTACCAGGAACCGGGGGAAATATTTAATTGACCAGAATTACGTAAGTCAGGACTGTTGGATTTATCTCCAAACAGCAAGCGTGTCTCGACGGTTCGGTAGCGGGTGGACGACTGACCGACCGAGAGGTCTGCTCTTCTGGTCCTTCTTCACCATCGCCCCTGGCGGCAGGGTAGTTAACTAGCGTCATCCCCTCTACGATGACGTAGCACCCTTGCCCCTACAATGCCGCTGACAACGCGGGCGCGGCTTACCCCGAACGTGAAAAATTATAATACTTAAAATGAAACTTTAAAAATCGGGTTTTTTACCCCTTGACGGGTTTTGGGTCGTTACATACTTCTTTACCTAGTGTCTTTTTATCAAGCTATAACTCATTTATCAAGCCAAGTACAGGAGTGTGTTTTAGCCGCTCTACAAACATTATATTTATATTTTGTTTTATATTTTTTTACATTGATAAATGTGTAACAAACACTTAAGACAAGACACAGTGAAGTAGTATGCAGAAAACACATTTAAATGGTTGTCGTTTGAGTATCTTCAGTAGCAGATTTTATACTCTGATGTGTTTGACAAGAGTGTTGTCAGCCTAAAGTATTTAACCAAACCAAAGGATACTGTCCTTTGTACTCTAATTGAGAAACTGTATGGTGTCTTCATCTGGATCTTTTGTATTTCTTCTACTATAATCATCATAAAAATGACTACCATTTGCTTCAATTTTTCTTTGTTGTCCTTTTGTCAATTCAACGGAATATTTTTTGTATTGAGTCACATCAACAATCTAAATAAAACATGAGTTTTCTGAAGGTGATTCTGTTCTGTATTGAATACATTGAGCTTTTTGTTTTCAGATTACAAACTTCCAATTAATAAACGGTTCAAATGTTTGGAAAGCACTTGGGTTCGACATCAGCCAAGTTTTATTGCCGATGTTAAAGAATTACAATCTAATGGTAAGTTGTAGTAGTGTTTGAAATACTTTCTAACATAAACAATGTAACATCAAAAATTTGATTTCACTTGTCTCGTTGTATACCTAATGTTCCTGTCTGGCGAATGATCCGTCTATTGGGTCTGATGATGATTGGAGTGTCGAATCACCACTTACCATCTTTCATATGTATTTACCATCTTGTGAGTATAAGTGTAAATATTTTTTTACTAGTGTTATTAGACGTATATCCTTTTTTCAGGTAATTTAATAACATGTACGATGCTGATCAAGAAGTTATACAATACAGATCGATAATACAGTTGCTTTTTCCATGTGCATTATCAATCTTAAACATGGATTGCGTTTTTGAGGGAAACATGTTGAATTTTATTCACAATAAATTCTTGATAATACTGAACCATAAAGGCCATTTCCACTGGCTTCCTCGTCCTGGACTTCCGGTTTAAACACATTTTCGTTTTTGTTTAAACAAATCGCTGGCCCCTGCTATGAAATGAGACCATTCACAGTCAGCGATGGTCTCGTGTGAATCCATTATGTGATGGTACTCACCAAAACTCATTCGTATTTTATTATTAGGATGAATCCACTTATTTCTTTTCATAACCGAGTATAAAAAAACTAGGTCATCATCACTATCGCTATCACTCAGTTCGTTAATCCAAGGAACGTAAAACCCAGGCTTACACCAAGGAACTTGCGGATAAGACATATTTGCACATGTAAAACAAAATGCACGAATAACAATAATAATAATGAATGAGGTGAGGTAATAAGTGAGAGTGTTACTGTTTTGACTCCAAATGAACAAGTGGACGCTTTGAAAGTTTCTGTGCGGTGTGGAAGGCCCACGTACTGGACGTCAAGCACGCCGGTGTGAAAGGCCTTAAATGCAATATGCATATAAGCTAATGGAGAGGAAGCAAGGCTGCCTACTTATGAGCTGCTTTTGTCTGTTTACAGTGACTCCTGGGTAAAAAGAAAAAAACTGTATGAGTGTTTAAAAATAACCAAGAATAAGTAAAAGTTATGGTAAACTATTCAATTTTTCAGTTAACAAGTCAAGTTTGGTGAAGAAGAAGACAGCCACAGCAACCAGCCCTCCTAGTAATGCTGTGTTGTATAAGCTGTACCAATCCGCGGAGAAGCATAACCAAAGATTCAGGCATACCTTAAAAAAAATTAAACATGAGGTGAGTTTTTTTTATTTATTTTGTTCGTAAATGTGATAAAAAAAACACACCACATGTCTGTGGGGAGTGATTTCTGTAGATGATTTATCATACGTTTTCGATTACTGCAACCATCCACATTGCTTTGACAAAATACAGTAGACCCTCATTTATACTTGATAATGGGTGGCTGAGTAATCGTGGGTTATCAAAATCTTAAGAATCAAATTAAATTAAAAAGCAGACAGTATTTCATTTATCAACTCATTGGTTAATTAGTTCCATTGGTGGATGGTGGAGTTTACTATGGAAACAAGGTAATCTGCCTGCAAGATGATGGTTCTTCTAGGTCTTGCTGTATATTACTTCCATTTAACTGAACACTATATATATTTTTTTGCAATCCTAGTTATTCTGCAGTGTGGTTACTGTAATCCACTCGTAGATAATATGGAGTCTATTGTAATTCCTTTGACTGAAATATATATGCAGTAATACATCACTGAAGGGAAGGGCCAGACAGTTGTATTTTTCAAAAAAACATTCATTATCTTATCGCTTTAGGCTTCTTTTATGCACCGCAGTATGGCCCGCTCCATTGTAGCCGTCCACAAGTCCAGAGTGCCAGACTTACAAACTGTTACTTTGTCGTGATTTGAAGATACATTAGGTCTTGTAGGAGCATTTATGCACAGTGGCGGGGTTCAAGTTGTAAGTGCTGCCAACCCTCCTTGTCCGGTATATGCAGTAAATATTTTTTTTATGTTTTGTACTTTTGTTAACATCCTTGATTCTAACTGATATTTTATGATTATACTACCTAAACACGGATATATCCAGTAATAAATGTAAACTAACATATTTTACAAATTATTTGGAGTTTAGACAGAAAGGTGTTAGTTAACTGTTATTACTCAAGAGTCCATGTTACCCGTTAGTAACTGACTAAGGTTGGTAGTACTTACTGCCCCTTCCACCTAGGTGACAAAAAAATTTAGCAAGTTGAGAATTTTGGCAGTCGCTTGTTTTTAGTAACACAAACCGCTGCCCCTGTGCATAACTGATTTTGTATGTCAGGCCTCTTAGCCTAAAAGACGTATTTAGTTCCTCGATAAATTAACACTGAAATAATTCAGTAGCTACTCTTTTTTGTTGTGTGCAGAATATCTATATGTTGTTTGTTGGTATCCCTATTCTTTAACCAATAAGCGATGCTGTCATCCGTAAAAAAAATGATATATCTACTTTCATTTACTAATAACAGAATGTGTAGATGCTTGCATTGTATCACATTTTAGTCCCTTGCATTTTTTCCTATACAGTTTATGCATATTCTTTTTTGTAAAAATCCAACTATCTGAAATGCTATTTCATCTAAATTGCTTAGTTTGATTTGAACCCTTCTAATCAGAATTGCTACATATTTTGTTTGATAACAAGTAACAAGTAACCAGATTGTATTTGTGCAGAGATGTGTGCTGAACAGACGTTTAATTCGACAACAGAATTCAATTGTACGTCTACGAAGGGAACTGCAAGAAGCGAGAGCTGAAATGAGTGTTATGAGCAAAGATCTCAACCAGATCAAGCTGGAGATTGCACCTTCCAGAGTAGCTAATGGTCAGTTGTAGCGATGAAAACTATTTATCTAATTAAAATGGACGAATAAGACTTAGCATTTTATCTAACGACATCATTACTAAAACAAAAGAAAATAATCAGTCCATGTAATCTTCTAACATGAAAAATATGGTTGACTAATAACATAACACTATTATATCTCCCTTTGCTTTAACTAACCTGTAGAATTGTTCTCAAGCTCTTTCCAGAATAGACAGTAGAAAATCAGAGGACAATTCATCTTTAGCTCAGAAAACCTGATTTTTCAATTGGAATGCACCCAGTGCACATTACGTAAAAAATGAATTGACACCGTCATTAGGTTAAAACTAACAAAAAAAAAACCATAGCACAACATGCCCAAACCCACCACCTCAAATTAGTGAACATCAAAAATCGTGAATTGAATATCAATGTATTGTACTTGTGTTACTTCTCCTAAATAAAAGTCAATAAATTCAGCATTAACCATTTACTATTAAACATCCATTGGACCGCTTAGACTTCTTCACCAAAAGATCAATACACCAAACCTAAGTGTATTTTTCTTGTGTTTTTAGGATTGAAGAGGAAAAGAGAGGAGTGTGAAGAAACCTGTGATTAACGGTAACATTTTCAGTTGATGCAGTTTCACTCGAAGAGAACGAACTTTCATATTGTAGTTATAAAAGTAGAACACCACAAATTGAGGAGTGTATTATACCACTTTTGTAAATACTTTTTTTCACAGCCTACACATGTATTTTTTCAGTACCGTGTAGGATAGAGTTTGTAATCTTATTTATTTATTGTTTTTGTAAAGTAGTTAAAGGTTTTAATATGTTTTACACTTTAGGGGTGGTTCCAAATTTAGAACCACAAATGAGGAAATGTGCTATCTTGTTTGTTTTCTATGTTATTTGTAAATCTTTTCCACGTCTTCAAAGATTATGTCAATATGTAGGATAGAGTTTATAACCATATTTTTATTTTGTGAAGTAGGTCAGAGTTTAAAATTATTTTACGTTTAAGAAATGAAGGTTTAACGTTGGGACTTTATCATAAATTGAATCGATTAGTTTACTAACCTAGTTATAAATAATCTCAAAACTCATAATGCTAAGTGTAATAAAAGGTCAATAAAACACTAAAAATATTGTATAATAAATAAATATTGATTTTATTCAGTTTTAGGTTATATTTAATAAAAGGCCCCACACATAGAACATTTTTTAACTTTCATTTACTATTTGAACTTTGATTTTTGCCTCTTGGATTAAATCGGCCAGAAAGTCTTCCACAACTATCCGCAGTACTTTTTGCTGGGCTTCATTTATTACATCTTCAACAAGAACTTTGGCTTCATTTTCTGTAAATTGACAAAATTATATTAATGCATAAGCTGAAAAATTGTGTACCGGGTACGGGAATCTCAAAATATATTGTTTGTGTTTTAACAGCTTTCTTTGCCTCCCTGTCTATAAACCTAATGCAATACCTAGGGGTTTCATTTACATACCCTTTCCATCCGTCCTGCTCAACTGATTTTTAAATTTGAGGTGTAATTTTAAAGCTTACAAACTGTTGGCCCGTCCTCGGTACGGGAATCAAGCAGTCCATTTAAACTGTATTAGTTATATCAATATGTCTATTCCTAATTCAAGCTTAGTTTAAGCAGTTCAAAATTTATTGTAAAGAAAAAGCTGCCAGGATTAATTATAACTTCGATCGTTGTTAATTTTCCAACCTTTCCTCAAAAATTTGGGTGGTAAAACAATTTTTATAAGCTTTCTTTTGAAGCTTCGATTTGTATACAACAATGGTTATAGAATCTTACTTAATTTCTATAATCAATGACAAAATCACAGAGTAAATAAACTGTTAGTTATATCAAATTATATTGCACTAAAACGAACTAAAGATTTTTTAGACTGTTCAAAATATTATTTTACTATGTATATTTAAATTAAGTATAAATAACACATAGTATAAATAGGTCAATTAATTTTCAATTTTATCCAAATGCTGAATTTGTGTCGAAAACGCTGAATGTTCACAGCTGTTACGTTAAGTAAATTGTATTATACCAAAATATAGAATAGAATGTCTGCATCGACTGCTAGACTTTTTAAAATTTAAAACTTAATTTCTAAAATCTAAAACCCTAAACTAAAATTATGGCTTCGACATTCCCTAGTTCTCAAAATTATCTTTTCATCACTCCTTAACGAAAGTAACTACTGTATTTTCGATAACAGCTGACATCAATGAAAGTAGTCTTTTCCCAAGCTCTAATTTAGGGCAAGGAAAAATCGATCAGCTATTTTCTCTCGCTCTAAATTTACTTTCCTCGCTCTCAATTAGTTCTCCATTTATTCACTACGCGCTAGTGTTTTGTTACGGTTTAATTTAATGATTTTAATCAGCTGTATGTATTTTTAAAAGTTGTGTTATTCTCTTATTTGGATGTTTGAACAAAATTTATTGAGAAATATACGTAGGTTTCTTTTTGGTTTTTATTTTATTTTGATGTTCCATCAAATTAATTGAGAAATAAAATATTTTTAATATTACTGAGGTCTGCTATTCTGTGTTTGTGTATTTTTGCGTTGTGATGAAAAGTATCGTTCATAACTCGTACCGAAAGTTATTATCCGGCACTTGCTCCATTATTCCCGTCCTCAGCTTCGCCTCGTACGTGAAAATAGCTCTCACATACTCGGCTTCGCCTCAAACAAAAACTTGAGCGCGCAAAGGAAAATGCCACTTTTGGTCCTAGTAATGAAATATAATATTCTTTCAACACAAAAATTATGAAAATCCATCAAATAGTTGATTCAGAGTCGTGAAATAAAAAAAAACCCTGTCACATTTTAATATATAAGATAATACACCCATACACTTATAATGCACAGTATATTCTTAGGGGTTTCACCCCCCTGGCCTTTGATTTATTTCTACAGGATGCCTTCATGGGTCCAGGTGCTGCTGACCAACTTCCTTTAATACCGGGTTTTTTTATTTGAATTGTAGTTAAAAACAAATTACCGTCAGTTGAATTTTTTTAAATTGAAACAGGTTATGAAAATAAATTATGATTGGACTATTTTATTGATAGTAGTAGCCTGATAGAGGTGTACGTAATAGTATATTACGTTACTAGTCCTGAAAATAGGTGTTTACCGGACGAGGGATTTGTTTATAAACTAACCACTCTCACTCATTGCCAAATACAGTATATAATCAGCTGGTTGGTGTCTGGTAAAACTCATTACAGTACAGTAGCATGTAATGAAACCCCATTTGATTAAGCTGACAGCAAACAGCTGTTTTCTGGACTAAATCCTTGTGTGGGAAGCTCGTTAAAACAGTGTGGAGAGACGTAAATAACTTTTTATCGTACAGTGTGACTGTAGATCTACAAACACAAACAACACATTTAAACTATTGTAAATTAGTAAATCTAATAATTGTCTCAGTTAAAAATTCATACAATTTTGATTTTCACATGACAACATTTTTCCTGAATGTTACATTAGTTTTAGCTACGAGCATTAGGCAATGCTACAAAGTAAGGTAATATTTGAGAGGTAAAGGGGAAATGCATTATTAGTTATGCCTTGGAGACGAGGTGCAAATTGCACACAGGGTTTCCTCGTGTCAAACCATCAAGGTTCATACTTCAACATGACACCTTGTGAGAATGTGGGTCTCCAGTGACATGTAAAAACAGCTTTATAATACAGTAAAATAACTAGAAATAACCTCTAAAAACTATCACCAATGATGAATGATAAATGAATGGAAATTCAAGTGTTCAGTGTGACTCGATATTGATAGTGAAAACATTAAAGGTAGAAGTGGAAGATATTGAAAAAAATCATGATTACTAAATGGCCAAGGTTCTGTTGTGAAGGTATCATGATGGATACGATAGAATGGTGGATTAGTGCACTTAACCATTTCATACAGACTACACTTAAGAAAATTAATTCATTAATTGGTTTCTTTTACAAGAGACTATAAAAATCTCATATTTGAATTTTGTTAACTTTCATTTTTGTTATAAGGATTGTAATAATTATATTATAATCAATCATTTTCTTTAAGTATAAAATAAACGTCTCTCCAGTTGTAGAGGTTAATAAAATTATTAAAACACGGTTATCTTTACCTGCATCGTTAGCAGCCATTTTCTGTCCCTCTCCATCTTTCATTTCAGAAATTCGGTGTTTTGCTTTCTGCAAAATTGCATCCACTATTTTTGAAGCCTCTCTTATGAGTTCTGAAAACGCATAAATAAATTAACACAAAATACAATAAACACCCCCTGCTGCAGTAAATCTGCAGACTAAGTGAATTTCCATTTGTGTGATTGGATTTTTATTCTAAAATGTTTTCTCTGTCTTAATGGACACAGTTCCCTAAAGAACTTATGATATGTTATCAAATAATGAAATAATGAAATTCCAGTTTGATATATATATATATTATATTGTATCAAAAGTGGTTTTTACACAATATAAAATCGATTGTACAATTAAGGAGAATCTTTTACACTGTTCTGCGGCGGTTTGGTTTGATTAAGTTCAGTTTGGCTTACTCCAGTTTTTAATAATAAACAAGGAAACGTATATAAAACATAAAAACAAAAGTTGTTATGTTGTGTGATTTGTTAATGATATGTAAATGATGTCTTTGTTAATCATTTACAAAGACATCATTTTCATGTATTTGAGTCCTCTTTTTCATGTGTTTATAAAATGGTCAATTTTTTTAAATGGTTTTTTTGTTATCATAAACTAAACTGATCCAAACTAACCTAAGCTTCTTGAAAATACCCATATTATAAGAAACTCAATGTTTACACAGAACTAAATTTTTGATCAATATTTATATCCAATGAAAATTTAACACGTTCACTGCGGGCGTATCCGATCAGATACGGGCCGAGCGCTGTTTAGGTGCTGCCGTAACCGATGGGATACGCTCGGCAATGCCTTTCGTATATCATAGTTTTTGCTCTAGCGTCGGTCGAAGGCGGACCTATACCACGTTAGCGTGTAGTGGGTGACTTGCTTTTTCTTGTGTTGTAGGTTGGTAGTAAAATTTCCCCATAAAATCCCTGTCTGGCAAACTTAAAAATCAACTTGTTGTCCCGTCTTTCTCCCTCAAATTGGCAATACTATGAGACCGGCTACGTTCCAAGCAGTGCTGCTATCTGTGAGTGTTTAGCGAACCACGTCGACCCCTGTTATAAAGCAGGACATCACCGCACGTTATTTGCTATTCGTCATACCGAAATATGAGAGCCAATAACCCGGCAATCGGGTTTGTTCGACGCTGCGGGCTGTGCCACACTGGGGCTACGCCTGCTGTTTGATGGCCCGCAGCGAACGTGTTAATCTCATAATATATTGTAGGTTCTCTGCGGATTGTGCCCTAAATAATCATTTTAATGAGTATTGTTGCTAAAGGGAAGCAAAAAAAAAGTTTTATAACATTAGTGTAAAATAAATCAATTTGCCAAATTTAATAAAAATCATATTATCATGAGATTTTGAAATGTACTGTCTAGTCATACCTTCAGAGACAGGCTGTTCCTTTTCCTCAGGTTTCTTTGGCAAGATCAAACTGATGACCTGTTGAAGTGCTCCATTGATTACAAGTGTTGTTCTTCTCAATGCCTCATTAAAACTCTCTAAAACAATTAAACCTAAGATTAGTAACACAACACACGGAGATCAAGGTACTTAAGGGTTTGTTTCTGCTAACCTTCAAGTTACCAAGTGCTAAATCTTGGTTGCTCAAAGTTGCTTAAGGTTTGGGTGTGTTGCTAGTCTAGCGGTTAGTGCCTCAGACTACCGTGTGGGAGAGACAGGTTCAATTCCTGGCATATCCCAAAAACTTTTATGGGTGTGGAGAGTGGACCGCTTTCCCTTAAAAGCCTTCAAATTGACTTAATTAAAAAATTTCCACTGGCAAAGAGACCAGCAAAAAACATCTTGGGCGAAATGTCATTGGCAATGAAATACCCAAAATATGAATATTTAAATGTGTAATAATTAACTACTATTCATAGTCAAAGTCGTTTGATAGTGCAACAAACTGAGAAGCCACAGTTCACACATCCCATAGTTGTCATTTAAAATGTTAACGTAAAGTTAATTCTCCCACTGTTATGGCTCAGAACCAGCTTTGCTTGATTAGTTAGCTTGATAAGTTCCATGCACTGCACAGACCTTGGGGACAATGTGACACGCTAATACAAGGTTAAAAGGCGGTGAAACCTCTTAAAAGTTATAAATTATAAAGAAGTACAACAATGAGATCTGAAAAAATTGTTTTAAAACCATATGCACCATACTTAGTATAGGTATAGGTATACTTAGTATAGGTCTACCTGGTAAAAAATAAAAATTAATACAACATTTTAAAGAGGACTAAACAGAGAAACAAAATTATTTGAAACTAAAAGCAACAAGTACAATGAAAATTAAAAAATAGATATACTTTTATAGCAAAAACAATTTAAATCTGAATCCAAAATAAAATAAGCCAAAATAAAATTCTCCAAAAATTGACTTACCATTTCAAAGAGCAATAAGCAAGTAATGCAATCAACACACAAACGCACAACATTTCTCTACGATTTCCAACTTGCTACAACAACAATCCCAGAATACCTTTAAACTTTGGCCAGTTTTCACTGCCTGACTTGAACTACTGCCAAATTAAAACATATTCCATTTGGCAAGGAATACTAACAATTTGATTACTTTTTACGATTCATTGTATGATCATTTTTATTAGCACAATACTGTACTAATCAAAGTTATTGTTCAGGTTTGTTATATTGATCCCAAAATACAAATTTTTGTATCCAAAACTTTTGGGGAATAATGATTTTCCATCAATAAATTACTGATAACAGCATTAGGGATTGTGGAAAAATGAATAAACAATTAATTTAATATTTACAGTATTCCTGTTATTCCAATCTCGAACCATGCTCCGACTAGCAGGAAATCAAAACAAGCAAATTTATGTAATAACAACATTGTATCGATGGTGAAACCATCACGTATGGGTAGCTGCGAAGATGTTGGCAATATGGCCGCTATTGCTGATCACAAGATATGTCAAGACTGTGTTGCAGCGTATGCGGATGATAAATGTCAGTGACAATGTTGCTAGAACATTTAAATGTACCAGCAAGCTTTTACTATTACTTTGCCAAAGTAGGCAGTTATGTTATATTACTACGTTTGCCAGCGTGTGTGGTATTATTATTATTTTCAGATTCTCCAACTGACATTTGTGGTATTGCTGAATTTTTCACATTTCTTGGAGGTATCACTAACGTTGCCAACATTTAACATCAATAGCCTTCCTGACATTTTAAACATAATTTAATTGCTAGAACATTTAACATTCTCAGCGACACTGTTAAAATTGCCGACAGCACATCAATAACAGGGACATTGCCATCTTCGTCAAAGAAAACCTTTGACGTTTGCGGCGACATTGCAAGCTTTTCCAACATTTTTCAAGACATCACCAGCTTCAAAGACCTTCGTAGTGACATAGTTAACTAAGTACTATAGTTTAAAAAATTAAATAATTGTTGAACTTCAGTTGAAATTTGGATTTTCAAACGACGGAGTTTGGAATAGCTGGACTTTCAAGCAAAAGGGAATTACAAACCTTGTGGAATACCCGCCAAATGAACAGCTCTGTTTAGTATCTTAGCAGCTGTATGTAACAGTGACCCGGCTACATAGCACATGTCTCTCATGACACGAGCCACTAGTCTCTCCTCAGCACTGCCAGACTCTGACGCACCTTGAAGACCAAACTTGCGACACTCCAAGTTAGGTACTACAACACCATCATAACATAGATAGCAGTGATTAACATGTTTGGAAAGTGGTATAAATTACTCATAGTTTTAAAACCAATAAATTTTAACCTTGTTAATTTTATAAGTAACCTTAAAATCACAGAAAAAACATAAAATACAAATATTTTACCACTTTCCCTCATGATTGTTTTGATAAAACAAAATTTACTAGTATACGATGGACATTAACCGATCGAAGACAGAGGCCTCTAACAAAATTGCAATTAGCAAACCTTTTTGGCTCCAAGCCCTGACAGTCGGGACAGTATGGTCCAATTTACTGATTGTACCATTTTTTAACATTTGACATCTTTTTCGACCTCCCTCCAACTTGGTTGATTTTCTTGGTGGATCTACGAGATTTGGTTGTTCTTTTGTACAGAAACAGCTGTAAAATTTTGTAAACTTGATTTTTAATTAATGAAATTTGTTTTATTTCCAGTTAAACTGGTTTTGTTAGGTCTAAATGAAGCTTTTCTCTTGCGATTTAATTATTCATAGTTACATAACACTAACCCCGAATCTAATCATATTGAGCATACCTTCAGATAAACCATCAGAAGTCTGTTCCATGACAGTTATCCCAGAAGAGGTTGACTCTTGTACCTCCTCAAGATATTCTCTTGACCCTTCCATCTCTTTCAGTTGATCCACCACTATTTCACTCAGTACTCCCTCAATGCCTGACTTGTCCCTTTGCTCCATCACTGACTCCCGAGACTCTTGTAAAGGTGTCCGAGAGTTGTCCTCGGGTAGAGGATCGGCCTGTCCTAGACTCACCAACGTGTCCCGAGCCTCTTGATACTTTTGTTTGAGGATCAACAGACAAGTGTGAGTCAGATCTCGTAGACCTTCAGGAGCAATTAGCTGGAACAACAAGTCAGCTGACACCGGCGTCTCTGGCACTGGCTCTAGTCTGTAACACGTGTGCGGTTTTATTTGAATAAATTGCCATATAACTGTTACTAGAGTTTATACGAAATTGAGAAAGGATATGTCTAGGATGCCTAAACTTTTATCAACAGATAAGTATTCCTAGCTAGGATATTAATCAACAGATATTATCATAGATAATTTGTTTACAATTTATTCTAAGCAATAAAGCAATCAATTCTAAGTTCCATGTCTACAATGCATACTGTTTACCAGGGACTGGGACAGTCCTTGTAAATTCCTTTCTTGGCAACAGTGAATACACAATCAAATCCTCACTTTCTTTAGACATAACAATCATGGAGTTGACATGCTAAATATACAAAACTTTGTGGTAAAAAGGGTTTAACAGTAACCCAGTCAAACCTAAGTTAACTTAGTTAACACGCTTCATTTAATTTGCTTTAGGATAATACTGTATTTTATAGAGGTAACAATTACTGCCATGACTCAATCCTTAAACTCAATCCATAAATTACCTGAGATAAGGAAAGTTTACTATTTCAAAGAAACCTACCAGGTAAGGTTTTCTGTCCTGAAACTAAAGAATGTTCATCTTATTGATTAAAGTAAACAAACACTGATACATATACAACTACAACCAAGCAATGTTATCATAATTTGCAGTATTTGAACTTTAAAACAAGAACATCATAGGGTTTCCAAACATCACTTTAGTTTAACCTATATTTACGTCGTAGAGCTACATTTTTGCAACCTCTTAAAGTTACATAATCACCTCATATGCTTTTACCAGATCGAATTTATTGATTTATAAGCTTAGACTTTTTTCTTAACAAAAGCAGTTATAAAATAGTAAATTTTTGTTTGATAAAATAAACGAGTTAATTAAACGTGGTTTCGGTAAAACTTTTAAGAAATTATATGAGCATTTATTTTTATTGTATCTACTTCAAATAAAAGAGTACAGTAATCAATTTCTCATGTACATAACAATTATTTTCAATGGCAATAATTAATTGTGACTTCAAAGAGATATTGGTTATGTTTTACAGCGCAATATCAATATTTGTTTTACCTTGAATAACTGACGTGATGAATGTACTGTTTATTTCCAAGTGCAAGTGTTTATAAAATAAAGCACTAGTGTTCTGTATGCATTTACTGTACTCAACTCTACTGACCTGCCTGAGATAAACTGTTACAAGACAGAGACATGAGTTGTCAACTACATGTTAACTGTCTGATTGCAATGTGAGTCATGTGACATTGTCCCAAGGCTATTGTCTGCTCTGCATTGTTCCACTTTCAAATTGCAACACAACTAGTTGAAACTGTACTTTAACAACTACATGTGTAATACATGTTCTGCTCACTTAAAGATGTGTAATATAATAATTTACGATTGATTTTCATCAATTTATTTATTAACTTGGTACAGGTACATAACATGTACAATCAATTTTCCAATTAAATTTAATTTTTCACTGTTGCAAAATTATAAAAAGAATTTCAACAAAGGTTTGTTTATTTGTTGATATTGTGATTTTAGTGAGTTTGAATGTTTAGTTTGTCATGTGTTTAAAACTGTTCGGTGAGTTGAGTTTTTATTAAATTGGTACAGATGAGCATGTACATGATTCTTTTGAAATTAAAAATAGTTCTTCAGAGTAAAACTGTTACATTTTTTTAAGCCTTTATAAATCCTGCATAAATACCTTAATAAACCTTAATACCTGCATAAATCAACAAGACCCTCCAATAATTAATTGGTTATTAATAAGTAATCATAGTAGGTACTTATTAACAATTAGTAACCTAATACATTATTTTTTGTGGAAATAGATGATTTAAGAAATACAATCTGAAATAGAAAAATACTAATGAGGTTAATAGACCTACAACTTTAGAATGATTTTTGTTATTGGGCATTTTTATAATTCAATCCACAACAGATTTTAGTATGAATTAATTATTACTCAAAATTATATACAACAGATTTTAGTATGAATTAATTATTACTCAAAATTATATCACAATTATTTTTATGTATACCATAATTAATTATTTGGTTTCTTAAACTAAATTCATAATTTCAATTTGTTACCTTTTGTTACCTAAATCTCAATTATATGTTCCCAATTGTGTAACCAGGTGCAAAGCTCTGATTGTTACTAAGATACAAAGCTCTGATTGTTACTAAGATACAAAGCTCTGATTGTTACTAAGATACAAAGCTCTGATTGTTACTAAGATACAACGTTCTGATCGTTACTCACAGTCTCAGTCTGTCCAGTTCAGCAAGACGAGCCACTTCTTTGCCATGCTCGTAAGCTTGTAACTTAGCCTCGTCCTCTCGAGCCTGTGTCACCAATCCTGTCAGGAAATCGTTGATTGACTCTTGGTAGACTTCCAACAACTGGAAAATACAATGTACTTTGTAAGTTAACAACTTAGGTAACCTATGAGTTGTGTTTTGTTTTATTCATAAACCATGAATTTGCCTTGATTGTTGGTGTCAGTTTAGGTGTACAAAATGAATTGTTCCTGCGTTTCATCCTTGGTGAATTAATAAACCTCGGTGAAAGATTTAATAACAAAAACATTCAATTTTTCAGACTTGGGTGCAGAGGGTAGAATTTTGACACACTAAAAATGTCTTTTGAATTGGTTTTTTAACCTTTAAGAATCCATCTTTGACTCTGAAAATATTTAGGTAGACTACTCTTGGGGATTTCAAAGCTATAATCCTTGAGGCCAACTATACAAGGGGCTGTCCTGGCTCTTTAATATCAATAGAATGATAAACATAATGTCCAACAAATTATTTTCTGTTTTATGAAACCTTTCCTGAACTTTTACAATGGAAAATTATCACAGATAAAAATTACAAGTGGACTACACCTCTTTCTGAACCAAACAAAGCTGAGTGTCAAAACTAGTAAAAGAGAGGTTTTGTTCAATAAATTACATGCAGGATGTGAGCATACTGCAAATAATGAGTTGGTGGCTCTTCCAGTCACATAACAGACTACGAATCCATGGCTGTAATGCGTTGTGAGTTCGCATTGCCACCACCAATATTTATCAGTCAATCTATTTCTTTTACTGTACCGTCTCACTACTTGTACCGTTTGATATTTTCTATGTACAGGCCAAAACCCACAATGTTAACGGTATGCAAGGGTAAGTGAAACCGGCACTACGTTGCAAAAAAAATGTAAAATGTGTTAGAAAACAGAAATACAGACCTGGGTGAACATGAGGTTGTGTTCCTCACGCCGCCTCATCTCTCGTTGCCGTCTACCTTCCTCAGGCAGCTCTCTACGCCACCTGGCAGCCTCGGCCTGTAGCGCCTGTGAGTGTGCGACACCTTCATTCTTGAACCTGTCATAACACAACAAATCAACAGATTGAACCTGAGAGAATCAACTGTTTTGCAAAATCATTCACTCACGACAAAATCTTCCTAAAAACATTGCCACTGAATGACAGAAGACCACTTAACATAGCAAGAAGTTAACGGTACACAAGATAATAATGACAAGACACTGTTTGGCTTTGAATAAAACTATATCCTTAATGAATCATGTCTTAGAGACGAATGTAAAAACAAAACAATATAATTACTTTATTCTTTAGACCTTCATCAGGTATGGTGTCACGTGCATTAACAACAAGGTGTTATAAAGAAGATAGATATAATGTTTATACAAGTGTAGTGTGATGAACTTAACACTTACCTTAACAATTCAGTGGCCAAGAGGTACAAAGTCTGTCCAATACTGGTTCCCACGTTCAGACCAATAAGGTTATCCAAAACACCAGCCTGAAAAAAAATTTGACAAAAGTTCATAGAATTTTAACAATGTAAAAATATTTGTTGTCAAACTAAAAGAGGAAAACACCTTTGCTTCTGCCCTTATTGAAATGGGTGGTTGTAATTGATAAATGCAACATAGTCACAATTCTTCAAAATATGGCCAACTAGCAGAGTACCCGTCCTTCGTACGGGGTTGGCATATAAGTTGCAAATGTTTGTGGTATACTATGGTATAACACATCTACCATAGCCATTAATTTTTACCATTTCACTTAAGTAATAAAGAAAGATAAATTATTAAACATTCGCAAAAAATCACAAATTATTTATGACATTAAAAACATAAACATGACTGTAAACAATCCTACTTTGACACATCTTATTGCGTATCACAGTTTTTTTTGTTGCTTAGTTCAAATTAGCTCTTTAAATAAATACAAAAAAATTATAGTGCTGCACCCTGTTGGTAAATCTTTTAACCTTTTATGCTTTTGTATATCAAAGAACCATTTTTTTTATTTGAAACAGCTGACTAAATTCTTTAATTCCCTTTAAATATGAATACTCATAAGGTTAACATGGCGAACTACAGAGCCACTGGGGTAGAGCCCGAAAGGATTTTTGACATAAGAATATGCCTATATGTTAATCGGGAATGTGAGCTATCATCATGCCAAATTTCAGCCCAATCCGTCCAATGGTTTATGCGTGATTGAACTTCAAACAAACAAACAAACAAACAAACAAACACACAAACTTTCACATTTATAATATTAGTAAGATAAGATGTATCACACCACATTTACCTGTTGATTAGTGCTGCATTTCTGCAATTTTTGTTATGGGAATTCGCAAAATTACTGCGACACAATAATGTCATGTCCATCATTAATATTTGGTGGGGAAACCTAATAAAGTTCCTGTTATGAAACATCGTAAAACTAAAAACAACTCCCACAAAAAAATCAAATACTTGGTATCATTCATTTAGTTATAAAATTGACTATGCATCTAAAAGTAATATTTTTACTGAACCGTTTCCAATTTTTGGGTTATCCTTAATTTTTATTGGTAGTTGAGGACAATGGGTAAAGAAAGCAAAATGACTAATTACATGAGAAAGAGAAGACAAATTGTTGGTTTGCTTAGGCTGCTCTAAATGACAAACTAAGCATATTCCATTTTAACACCATCATATTCAGTTTGATTAATAAAACTGAATCAGGCTTGTATTACACCGAACATTATCTTATGTTAAAACTTTTAGAGAGCAAAGATTGGTCCCCAGGCAGGCACCATACTGACCAGTCTAGTCTGAAGGATATGTTTGTCTGCAGATTCTGTCCTTTCAGGTTCACAAGCTCCAGGAGTCTTTATTTCCTGCATCAACTCCTTCCAGAAATGTCGTTTGTGCTGCATCTGTTGAGGTGTCAGATCATTAAGATGTGCCTACATTGGAGACATCTAGCAGAACTTGACTTTTTAATACTCTAAGTGATTGGTTTCTGGAATTTTGGATGGTTCCCGCAGCGGCCAAGTCAGCTGACTGAGTGAGAAAAAGAATTAGCTTAGAGAGTGAGATAGAATAGCGTGGACGCCGTACGAGCAATCTTAGCAGCGGCCACCAGAAGCTTATTTCGGCTGAAAATTCAAGTTTGACTATTCTCCATAAGCATTTTGCTTCTTAAGGTTTTGTATTTATTGCACACACCTAGGTGTGTATTTTAAACTGAATATGAATGTGAGGTAAGTTTAGAATGACATGTGATGATTTGTGTAGCTTGCTTCCTGCTGACTATCAGCTGTTTCATTCGCTAGGATTATTAATTTAAAGCCCAATGGTCAGGGATAGCTGATGGGTTCAGTTTCGAACCACCACAAAAGCTACTGACGTTTGACTGACAGGATAAAAACGGCAACCTTTTGATTGTTAGGCAAGTTATTAGACCTCTGTAATCATTAGGCAAAACAAAAGGTTGCACGTCTTATGGTGTGGTCAGAACAGTATACACAACAACAGTTACCGTACAGATAGCCTATCAACTATGCACAAGTTCATTTTCTACGGGTATGGCTGGAACAGAGTCTGCTTATATATTCATATTCATGTATAATTAATAGAACAATAGTAAATAATCACTGCCACCCCTGGAACATGGACGCAGCTGGTAATTTAAGTAAACTTAAACTCATCATCTTAATGTACGTCCTTTGTATCTTATTTGACGTGCCTATCTATAAATTTGTACAAAATATCTTTGGACGAATAAAATCTCATCTTATGTTACATCTTTAACCTCAAATGGGTGGGAATCTTTTAGTTTTTACCAGCGCCTGCATAGATCGACTGTGGACAACTCTTTGTATCAAGATGGCCGCCTGGTACAATGACTCGTCTGTCATCGGTGGTTGAGAGCTCGGCAGATGCTGAGTTTCTGGACGAGCGGAAGACTTAGGTCGATGTTCAACTTGAGCAAAGAATGTCTCCGCTTTGGATGACCTGGCTCGTAGTTCTAACAGTGGCAAAAGATTATGTATTATTTTTCCAGATTATAAATATCAAAATATCAATTTTTAAATATTATTAATGAATGTTATTATTATGAATGCCTGTATATGTATTTGCAAGGTAAACAGGAAAAATACTGACTAATTTACTATTATGCTGACACACAAAGTTTCAGGTGAAGGATGTAATTGGAATTAGATACTACTGTGTATCCAGGACTATTTATTTGTAAAGTAAAAAAATGGGGAAAGGTAATTGATTTTATTAGATCCTGCAGTGAGAAAATAGATTTTTTTTAAATCCACACTTTACAGCAGTTTTTATGAATAGTATAATTCAAACTTTCAACCCAACAGCAATGGATGTTTGTATGTTTGTAATAAAAACTCCCTATTGGCATGTCAACTTAAAAATGAAAAATACATGATAATATTACATACTACATAAAAGTAAGCCTACATAGTATGGAAAAGAACATTCAAAAGTTTTTACCGAGTCATAGGAAACTTAAACCACTGTTAGATAGTCTAAAAACAATATGCACGGTTTCAATATTTCTCTAGACAGACCAACTACATTTAAACAATATTACTTGTACACTAAGAAATTTGAATGGTTACTTTTATCAAGCAAAGAAAAAGAAACTGCAGTGAAGTAGTTCACTCGTTGAAAGTTCAAACTTAGTTGAAATTTGTGAGTTATTTATAAAACACTCAACACATAAAACAACTACAACACTCACTCTGCAAGTCCTGATGTAGTTTGACCAAGTTGTCCATTGTCCACCGTGTTTCCCGGACACAAAGCTCTGTTTGTTTCTTCGGTTGAGAAGCTTTATGAAAGTCAAACACAGGTCTGCTGGTCGGGGTGTACGCCAAGTCACAGACATCTGGGCAAATACACAATGAGGATCCAAACTTTACCATACTAGGTTAAGTACCATACAGGAAATTTAAATCCATTGCCTCAATTTAAAAAAAAGCTGTATACAGCAGAAAAGAACTACATTATCATCGACCTCAAGTATACGATAAAAGTAAAAGTGTACAACATGAGCAAGTAAAATTCATTTTGGTTTAGTTCAATCAGCTACGTAGCAGAAAAAAGCTCTACTAAAATGTAATCAAACAGTTATAGATGAATGTGAAAGCTGGCACTTATTCAGATTTTAAAATGTGATTAAATACTATATAACCCTTTGGTTCTTGTCTTTAGGACGTATTTTGTAAAAAAACTTTATTTTCTCAAATTAGCGTTACCATTTTGAAACTAATAAATATAGTTGAACTTTGAATTCACCAACATGTTTTATTTTAAAAGAGCTTTAAATTGTGGATAATATAACACATGTTTGTATTTGACAATTGTGAGATTTGAACAAGTAAACCTCTAGTTTTTGTATATCTTGGTGTCCTTGGGGTTGGTTTAGTGGGAAAAGTTTTCATTTCATAATTTTGGGACCAGTGGTTTGTCTGAAATCAATACTGGACACTTTACGAGGTTCACGCTGTATAGATGGCAAAGTATCTAAACACTATTTTACCCTTCCAGGTGTTGATGAGGATGTTTCATTAAAAGTAAAATATGTAAAACAGTTAGTCATTAATTATTTGAGTTTCCTTAACCCTCCAGGTGTTAATAAGTTTACTGTACCTAGGTATCTTATCATAATATCAAACCTCCATCAATGTTAATCTCCTTGTGTCTGTCTCTGAGGTTGACTCCATATCTCTTTGAAGGGTTCAGTTCAGAAGTAAGCCGGAAATGTTCGTCCAACACACTCATCTTGTTCTTCCTTGGGTCGTAACCTTTTTCCTTCATACACAATTTTCTCAGAGCTGCAACAAATGTTTAGCAGTCAGAAAATGAGCGTTTACATGGTTTGTAAAACTTGAAGAAGCCCTCAAAACCAGTGGAACACTAGGCCCATCTGTGGGTCCGGATGTCGGGACAAGGTTGGCCAAGCGCTAGAGCCGCTTAGTCACTCCATCCTTGGCAGAAGGGCCTTCGAAGAAGGCTCGAGGTTCTACCTGTAGGTCTAATGAGGGTCAAGATACTGGGGTATTTCAGCAAACACCTTCAAACTCTGGGAATTATCGATTACAATCAGGAGTGTCGATTATGCAACCAATCCGATGAGCCTGCCAAACACATCATTCTGGATTGCTACAGACTTGGGGATTGGAGAAGGGCTATGTTTAATCAAAAGCAGCCTGATGATGAACCAGATGCTAACATTGAGCAAAGCTCCCAGAACTGGTCAAAGACACGGGCAGATACGCTTACCCAGTTAAAGGCAAGTGGAGCATGCACAATAATCTTCGGTTTAAACATGCTGGGACCCTGAGTCTACCACTCCACAATACAATAGAAATAGAATACATAATCACCTCTCTCCTTCTCATGTCTGATGAGTTGCAGCTTATGTTCCTTCCTTCTGTTGATGTCTTCCTCCAGATACTCCAGACGACAGCTGAGGCGAGATCTGTTCATCAAGTTGTGTTCCTCCAACAACTGCTCCGACTTCTTCATCCTCTCCTCGTGAACAGCTTCGATCTCCTGCAATTGTATAAATTGCTTGGTAGCTTAGTGGTCATAGTGCTAGCCCAAGAATCAAGATGTTGCAAATATAAAAATTATGCGTTGTAAAAACCCAAAACTGTAATATTTACAAATGAGTTCAAATAAGAGATTACAACTGGTAACAGGTATTTTAAACCCCATATTTGCTCTCTCATAAAACAAATGAATTATAGTTATAATGTATGTGAGTTCATTAACTAAACCAACTTTCTAAATAATTACATCTTTAACTAGAATCCCTTGATTTGCAAATTAGGAGACATTTTTTTTATAGTGAAATTGTAGTGAGTGCGAAAAAAACAGATGTGTATTGTTTTCAAACATAAAAAACACAAGGTTGAATGTGGAGCTGAAATTCCAGTTAATACCCCCCTATGTATTTTTGGATTTTTATGACAATGTATGGATTTAAACATGACTAGTACCACTTATGCTGATTTCATGTTCTTAGTTTCTGAATCACTACTTGTAGTAAATATAATAGTTGTTTAAATACGTTTTATTGCCGGAGTGATTTTTTTTTTGTCCATTTAGGCTATCAAAGGGCGTCTTCATCAGGTAACAAGGTGACAATTTTTTAGTTTCTTTGTGTGTTATTGTTTGACAAAAACTTACATGTAATTACTAAACAAAAAAATTGTAACCAAGTGGCATGATGAAGAATCCTTTTGAGAGTCGAAACCGCTATCTTAGACAGACTACAAAAATACCTACAACAGTAAAATGATTATATTTATCACTATTATATTTACTTATGCTGAATAAGGGAGAGTTTGGGGTGATTTGGATAAAAACTACCATAGAAGGGTTTGGCGGGCGTTAAGTTGTAATGAATGTAAATGCGGTTGACCTTCTCTCTAAACTGCCAATCACTTTTCTCCATCTCAGCGATCAGTTTGAACCGGATGTTGATGTTGTCAGGACAGTCTAGTGGAGGCAGTCGAGACTCCCAGGCTCTCTTGCGTCTCAGTCTGTCTACGATCTCTACTTCATGTCTACCTGGTGGTAACCCCTTGCCTGCAGTCACACGTGTGTGGAAACAAATTACAAATCTCAACAGTATACAATTTGTAAATAAGAGATAAGAATTTTTGTCTGGGTACGAGTAAGTCAATCATAAATATACCATCTTTATCCAAATGCTGAATTTTTGTCACACACGCTGAATGTTTGCAGTTGTTAAGTTAAACAAATAGTATTTTACCAAAAGCTGGCTTAAAACATTAGCTGCTGGACTTAAAAATTAAATTTCTAAAAAACTTTAACCCAAAATAAAAATGATGTCATCAACATACCTATCCGCTCAAAATTCAGGAGAAGAATCATGAAAATCCGTCAAGTGGCTGAATCAGAATCTTTTACAAAAAACTCATTCATGTTTTAATTTGTAATAGGACATTTTTTTCAATATGAACATTGCAGAGTTCATTTTCAAGCAACCTGCAATATACATTATCTATACATACCCCAGGATAGCTGGTCCAGGTAAAGTACTTCAGGTGTAGAGGCCCCGCGGGTGGTGTATGGGGGAGTCCATGGGACAGTCTGTGCTTCACTCTCACGATAATCAGTCTGTGTCGCTCGTATCTGCGTAGCGGCACATCTGTGTAACAGACCAATAAACATAGAGGATGTAACACAATGGTCTAGTTGTAGGAATTTTGTTAATAGCATGCTTGCTTACCTGAATGGGAAAGAGTTCACTCCACGACACAAGAAACACAAATTACACAAAATTTAAAATATTTCACTGTTACGCTGTCAGTGGACAGCATTTTCAACTAAGGTAGGTTGGGAAACAATCAGTTGGGAAGCAACCATAGCCTCCTCAAATACAAGGCTGTGGGGAGGTAAAAGTGGCAACGCTGCAGACTCAGCATACTGAAACAGCTGTTGCACTCATTTATAATGGAGCGTATAGTGTTAAGTTTAAAATTATGTGTTTCATGTGTTGGAGTGAATTCCTTCCTATTCAGGTAAGCCTGCATCCTAACAATACTAGATGGATCAGACACCTGTTTTGTCCTGTAATAACCGTTAATAGGAATGATAGGTTATTTGTTATTTCCAAAAAATCTATGTGTATTACAGTAGGCTATGCTCAAGAAAGACTCATGATTTGACATAGATGATTAGACTCTAGATGTTTTTAACATAACAATTTAGATGCAATTTTCAATTCAAAGGAACAAAAATAATTGTAGTTGATGAGCACGGAATAAACAAATGAAAGTTATAGATTTCCAGCATTGATCAGAGATGAATAGCAATACATTGATATAATTTTAATTAGCTGGTAAGATAAACAATATTATTCTAGCTGGTACACACAATTCTCCTGTCCTACCTGGTGGGTGGTTTCTGCGCTGTAGTTGGAGGAGCTAAAAGCCCAAGTGATGCAATATTATCAAACCCCAGGAGGGGGAACCTTGAAGTTACTTCACTCGGAGCTCCATCTTTGGCTTCTGTCACTGGCCTATGGTGACAAAAAATTAACATTCAATTTCATGTTAGACGAATTTTCTTAGAGAAGTAAGCTGTTACTGTAGTCCCTTCATATTAGCCCCCAGAGGGGAGGTAAATGCTCCGTGTTGGTATCGGCATTTTCAAGTTGGCCACAGACATGGACGACTGGGCATTGGGTCCCAGTGACATTCCTTTATCCAGGATGGAGGGGTGTTTAGCTCTAGGAGAGATGGAAGTGCATCATAATCTCTAACCTACCTGTGTCTGTGGTTCTTTGGGCTTCGGCCTGCTTGTTGTGTGCGACCAGCATTCAGTGGGCAAATCCTCGACTTTGGAAGTAACCTTTCCTGGAGGTGAAAACGGGCAAGTACCCGTAGCTCACGGGGACACTCAAGGGCAACGTAACTTTCCGCAGTGTGAGGGCAACGGTTTGTAGGCACTTATGCAAACCAATCCCTGTCTCTGAGCACGGACGGTATGGTTATCTTGAGTGTGGGGAGTTCTTCCCGGAACCTCAATTGAGTCAAGGGTGTCGCCACCTCTGGTGGATAGGTTCATCCGGGTGGGTCCCACTTCTATACCTGCCTCCTTTTGGGAAACCCTGATGGCCTGGCAGTGATGTTGGGTCTGACGGGCAAACGAAGTAGATCGGGTGCTGGGTCCGAGCCCGCCAGGGGTATCTGGGGATCTATCGCTCTGGTTATCTCTGGTTTCCCAGCAATGGGTAAGGCCTCGATCGGGCAGTAGTGTAAATGGGAGGTTGGGGTTCCCCCCGTCAGCGTGCTGACGGTCCCCTTCCTCCTGGCTATCGATGGCGGGTTCTGCCTGTCAGGGATTAGATAGGTCCCGAGTGTTGCTTGCACTAAATGCGTCGGGGCGCTCTACCATGGACCTCCAGGTCCCGACCTAGTGGAACCCAGGTGGAGTGACGCTTAAACAAGCAGCCGGAATCCCTGGTTAGGATTGAGGGGCAACCCTCCTTCCGAAGGGTCTGCTTCGGCAGCCGGCGAGCCTGATGACCTTAAGTCATCCGCCCATGATGTGCTAAAGGTTGATGCGTAAGCTTCGGCCTACATCATGGGGCCCGGGTATGTCCTAACGGATAGGTACCGGGTATGCAGTCAGGGGGTTTCGGCTCTCATGACAAATAAATAAATAAAAAGTCCCTTCATATTTTCTTCCTATTCTCATTCTCTTAGCAGTATGGCTAGTTTTTTTTTTTTTTTTTTTTTGCTCAGAGGATGAGAACCCACCATTTACCCTTTCAGTGATACGCGACGATATATTGTCGTGTGTCTTTTTCCCGATAAGTGCTATATGGAACAATATATCGTTGTGCGAATTTCATCCGAAAAGTGTGAAGCGACAATATATCATGCCAATCCGACTTTTGACTGTGTGAGTTTAAAGGCTCTTATCGGTTGACTCGGTTATCCTTCAAAACAGCTATGATTCCTTTTGATTCTTCATAATATCGAGGCCCAATTTATTGTTCCTTAGCACTTTTAAGATGAAAAATTTTATTTTTATATTATTACATTTTGATATTCATCTATATATTATATGTAATAGTTATGAGTTATTTACTTAGTTTAGAGTTAAGTATTCACTCACCTTCGGAAGTACTTGTAACGGTCAGTCCCTGTAACTTCAGCTGTGATTGTTCTCTCCTGAGAAATGGCTCTGAAAAGTCATAATTTTTTTAAACTAAAGTAAATTTGGACTAAAAGAGGACCCCTATGTGTTATTTAGAAACAGAGTCACAAAAAAGTTTTGAAAAGTTCCTACTATAGCCAATACAAAAGTGTTTCACCTACATGTTAATTTTAACTCATTTTAAACTGTATCAAAAAAAGAAAACCATAAGTTAATGAAGAATTATCAACGTTAGACATGTAAGACTATTGAAACTATTACTATAGATTTCGTAACAACGAAACATAAAATTTTGTAGCCACTCACCTTACCATTTTGTTTGCTGGATCAAAACTTTAAACTTTAGAGTATTAAAATGAGACCAATTTGCAATCACTTAATTCTTTCCCTGAGATAAAAAAACTAGCTGTTTCATGATTAATCATTTAGTGCAAATATGTTTGTCAAATAATTAACTACATTGAGTTATTGGTTCAAATTCAGAGGTTAAAACACATTTTAGGTTATGCAAAGCAATTTAATTTATGTGTTTATATTTATCATGTGTTTAAAATAAATGATTTCAACATAATTACTGATTGGTTTAAGACATGGAGGTTCAAAATTAATGAAACTAAATCTGTCCACATTACTTTTACTCTAAATCAAAATTCTTGTCCTCCTGTCACAATAAACAACACCCAACTTCCCGAAGTAACTGAGGTTAAATACTTAGGTATCCATTTAGATAGGATGGAAGTTAACTTGGAAAACACACATTTGGAGAAAACGGCAACAACTAAATTTAAAATCTAATCAGTTAAATTGGCTCATCGGAAGAAAATCAAAACTTAGTCTAGAAAATAAATTATTGCTATATAAAACTATATTGAAACCAATCTGGACATAGGGAGTGCAACTATGGGGCTCAGCGAGTACTTCTAATATAGAAATTCTCCAACGATACCAATCGACGATGCTGAGGAAGATAACAAATGCACCATGTTATCAATATAATGTCAATATAAAATAATATTGACAACAAAATAAAATAATCAATATAAAATACATGTCAGCAATAGAACACTACATCAAGACCTGAAGATGCCTACAGTTAAGGACGAAATCATGACCATAAGTGAACGATATATTACGAAATTGGAATCTCATGAAAATCATTTAGCTCTTAACTTATTAAACAACATGGATACAATTTACAGACTTAAGAGGCCATTAATTCTGGACCTGCCCTTCAGATTTTTGTAAAGTGTTTTTATTGAAAGATTTGTTGTTGAGAATGCTTAACAGCTATTTTTAATGTTCCAAAGTCAATTTTTCGTATTATATAGTATTTACTTATTGTTCAATCCCTATAATAGAACAGATTGTAAAGTAAAAAAATAAATAAAAAAAAAAATAAAAAAATAAAACTGTTATCAGTGTTTCCAATAAACCATTCAGAAGCTGATTCTTGTGACCAAACCAAGGCTACAAGAAATTAGACAAATTCTAAAAGAAAGAAGCATTGTATTTTTCTCAATTTACACTATAAGGAATTAACTATCGCTCACAAAACTGAAATGTGGAATGTTTACTACAACTCAATTCATATCTCGGTTCAGTGTGGATGTACTAATCTACTACAACTAACATTTTAACTATAGGTAACCGTTTTATCATTGAGATGTGGATGTTACTGCAGGCATATAAACATAGTGGTAAGTTTAGATAGGGGATAGGACTAGATGACTGACTCCGAGTACAATTTCTCTTGCCAAGGGACATAATTTAGCCAACCCAATGATCAAGAAATATATCAGGATCTGCTTTCAAACCATCAATGAGTACTTTTCTCAAAACTAAATGACAACCGTCATATAGAAAGGTACACTCATCCTTCGCTCATATTTAATCTTAATTGATAATGATTATTATTTGATCCTTGGACAAAGGTTCTGATTAAGGTACCACTGTAATTGGTGTTGTACTGCAGGACTTACTTGACCTTGCCTCTATACGAGGTGTCCACATTGAGGGGAAGTTTGTGTGATGGGCGAAGTACTAGGGTGGCTCTAGGAAACCTGACCATGTCACTGAACATGGAGTCAAATATGGGCTGAACACTCTGCAACAACCCCATGAATCTTAGGACAACTGAACCGTACAGTGTACACCATCCAAAACATACAAAATCATTGTGAACACTTCTGGTACTGTAAAATTTAGCTGCTTTTTTTGGTTTGTGAGTTGTGTATGTTTTATGTCAGGTTATGTTTAAGTAGCTGATGTTGACTGCATTTTTAGATCTTGTTATAATATTTTATCCTCTACCTTTCCTACATTACTTTGTGTTATAGATTGTTAATCACGTGTTATTTATTTTGTTTATTTATTGACTGTTTGTACATAACTCCTAACATGTTTCAAGTGTGATTCTTTAGTGAATTAAAACCTTACGTGTCCCTGTTGCTCGAATTCGAGCAATTGCTAAGTATTACAGGCGTTATTTTAAAACAAATTTCAACCAAGTCAGCAAATGTTTGTGGCAAACTGTTAAATTAACTTAAACTTATTGACTGTTTACAATTAATATGCTTATATAGGCTTACCTCCGTCAGTAGTCCAAAATTGTGTCTTTTTCAACTAATGTTGTTCAGTCTACCTACAACCGCTGCCGTGCCGTGTCGATAGCGCTATCGTGTTATTACGTGTTTAAATGTTTCGTGTTCCGTGTTTTGTTTTATGTATAAATCATTTGATGTTTTTGACAAAAAGCTCTGACGATGTTGCAGTGCAACGAAACATGTAAGCTTTGAACAACATTAGTTGAAAAAGACACAATTTTGGACTACTGACGGAGGTAAGCCTATATAAGTCATTATTCGTAGTCCAGGGGCTATCAGAATGAATAATATTAATATGCTCTTCTCACTTTTGATTTCTGACAACAGCTGGAGTTTCATAACAATTTTTGTTTCCTATGTTAATCTTATGGAGGAATACGAAACTTTAAAGGGCTCCAGGGCTTCACTCTCTAATTATTTCCCTAAAAAGAAAGTTTCCTGCACAACATCACGTTATGTTCTTTCCAATGACACCAAAAACATGACAATCGGTTCAGTAGTTTCGGAGGAGTAATTGTCACAAAAAATCTGCTTGCGTATTAAATAAGTACTAGTGTACATGTTGCTCGAAATCGAGCAATTGCAAAGAAGTACAGGAGTTATTTATAAACAAATAACTTGTTTAAAAACTAATAACAGTCATAATTCCGATGATTTTAAAAGAGTCCCCTAAAAGATTATTAACTAATGGAAATACTCACAATTTACATAACAGTCCTATTCGAGTTTAAAGGGTTAATTATTAACAATCAAACTTCCCATGGACGGGAAAAGGTAAGCTTACAATTTAAGTCATCGTAAAAAGGCCAACAGCTTTTATAAAGTACCATACTGTACCCAAGTTATTTAGCCAATTTGTAGACAATAAGGTGTAGGCTACTTTAAACTCTACAGGACAGAGTTAGACAAAAACTGGCAGAATTCTGAAATGGTGTTATTTATCATAGACTTACTCATATGCCAAATCCTTAAAATAAAAATTCAATAACTAATAGCTTATATCATTAAACACAAACCAATATCCAAAACTATACACATTTTTAATACAACATAGATAATTTACACATTGACGGTTTACAATTAACATGTCCTTCTTCTCACTATTAATTTTTGCTTCCAACGGGAAAAATCTGTTTCATAATTATACGTCATTCGCCTATTGGGTCTGATGATGATTGGAGTGTCCAATAGAAATCGATCTCCACTTACCATCTTTTTTGTATATTTACCGTCTTGTGAGAAACAGTATAAGCGTAAATATATGTTTTAAGTGTTATAAGACGTTTCTTTTATTTACTTTTCATAATCATTGAAATAGATTTATAATAAATAATCTATCATAAAGTTTAAGATTAAATAAACCTACCACATAGTTGTTTAATTTTTTTGAATCAGCTGTCTGAAATTGTGAAATAGGCATTTGACAGTTCTGGTTGTTTACATTTAAATGCCAAAGCAAATGTAAACATTGTGAATTTTCTTATGCTTCCATGGAGACAAATTATTAATATTTAATTTCTGACACCAGCTGGAGTTTCAAAACAATGTGGTTTCCCATGTTAATCTTATGGAGAAATACAAAACTTTAAAGGGCCCCAGGGCCTCACTCTCTAATTATTTTCCTAAAAAGAAAGTTTCCTGCACAACTTCTCGTTACGCTTTCCAATGACACCAAAAACTTGTCAATCGGTTCAGTAGTTTTGGAGGGGTAATTGTCACAAAAATCCTGCTTGCGTATTAAATAAGTATATAGATATAGATAAAACCACTGCCTCCATTTATTAGTATAATCTGTGTCTTGGCAATCCACTGACCTCTATATTTAAAAACTCAGTTGGATTTTCTAGATGGGTGCCTCTGCCTTTGACTGTTTTCGAGGGCCCACTCTTCCCCTTGGCATACTGACAATTCATTACCTAACTTGTAAAGTTCATGTAGTAATTCATTAATACTGTTAGTTTATAAAGAAAATTAGATAAAAGCTACTTGGCTTGGTGCTTTCATAACTGCAAACTCAAAATACACCCACAAGTAAAAAAGAATCAAGTTATTGGTAAAAAAAAAAACTATGTTTGTGTAAAAACATTATTCACATGAAGTAGATGATTTGTTTGATTTCTCGATCAGCTGTTTCGTTTCTAATGAATTAATAATGTCAAAGATTTGTGATTTTAAATACATAACTTATTATAGTAAAGTTTTCTAAATATGGTAACTTATTCTCAACTATATTTTACTATTCCCAGCATGAAAATAAAGTTGTGAGATCCATTTGTGAGTAAAGTTTAAGGCACACAATCCTTGATTGAAATGTAGTATACATTAACAGTCATAATACACAGCAATTATTATGTAGTAGACTTTGACTATTTCAAGTAACAAACATATGTTTCTGTAAATAAAAATTATCTCCCTTGTTATCCTTATGGAGAAATACGAAACTTTAAAGGGCCCGAGGGCCTCACTCTCTAACTATTTCCTTAAAAAGAAGGTTTCCTGCACAACTTCACGTTACGCTCTTTCCAATGACACCAAAAACATGTCAATCGGTTCATTAGTTTCGGAGGAGTAATTGTCACAAAAATCGTGCTTGCGTATTAAATAAGTATAGATATAGATTCTGTCCAGGTAAATATTCTCATTTGTATAAAAGATCTTTTAACTATTTACATTTTAATGTCTTATTTTTATTTTTATTTGTTGGCTTTTGAAAGCTTGGGACAAAAGCTAAACTGGAATATGCCAACACTCCTTAATTATATAGGCTATTAAATATTATGTTGGTTTAGCGTTTTTGTATCACTCACAACAAACTATAAAAATATGTCATTTTATAAATAAAAATACATATAATAAAGTGTTTTGGTTCTGTTAAAAATACATATTTAAAGCAGCATTTTTGTAAGAGACTATAAACAGTACTTACAAATTCAGATGAAGACTGTAGCGATTCATGTGCAGCTCTGTAATAATCTTTAGGTCCGGAAAATGTGAATAGAGGATCTGAAATGGGATATAGAACATGATTTTGAAATATTTTGCTATAAATGCTAAGGTTTTAGGGATGCTTGAATATGAATAGCTTTTACTTACTTACTAATACTCTAGCATTTACTAACCATGCAGATTCAACTCAAAACAAAGTTAAAACCGTTTTTGGTACTCTACAGTAAAGTTATTTATATTTTTGTTCTCATTTAAATATTTCTAACTAATAATTTAATCTAAAATTGTGCTTTCAACAGAATTCTTTTGCGATAACTACAGGATTTTCCTACTAGGACGACTTCAAATTTGACTTTAAAATTTGTTTTATGTTCCTCATACTGTGTGAAATGAACCCGTTTGTAATTAAATTTACAACATTTAACATTTTATGTTTACTCTAAATTATAGCATTATGATAAATGGGGAGATCCTTATAACTTTGTTAAATGAGATCTCTAACCAGTAACCACAGAGAAAAGCAAAACTTATCTTCCTTGTAGACACACACTTACCATAAATGTAATCCAAAGGTCTAGAAGCTCTGTGTTTTTCTGCACTGAAGCAATGTTGTTTTGGAGCAGACACTTTCATTTTTGTTTGATTAAAGTGCAATAGTAAGCAATAAGTTTCACCATACAATGAGTGTTATCTTGAGCGTTGGCTTTAATACAAGAAAGAGAAGAAAGTAGACCCTTCCAAATATCTACAGGTTGCTATGGTAATCAGTTGATGGGTCAATGTCTTGATGAAGCAGATCATTCAGTGTAGCTTTGTAAACTGTAGTTGACTTTTATTCCGATGTAGAATATTTCTCTTTAGTTAGACTGGGGAAAACTTGGTTATTTACTTATCGTGAAAATGTTCTCAACACTTAAATAATACAGAAGATGTAAATCTTAGTTAAACATTTGGCCTCAAGATAATTTTGAAAAACATGAATTTATTATATAGCCTATGATTTAGTGGATGGTGGTTATGTTACCTACTGGCCTGTGGGTTTGAGATGTCTCTGTTTCATTGCATCCAAGCAAAAACTACAGTTAGGCTAGTATATTTAACTCTTTTTAGTGAACTTCACTTCAGTAAACATTGATTCAACAAACTGTAGCTTTAACAAAGATTTTATTGCTTTTTTGTGTACTTTCAGAATATTGTTCAAGTTTTGTTTTCCTTTATTGTCGCAACATGAATATAGATTCCATGGGACTGTATGTCAGACCATGTTTACAGAGGCAAGTAGGCAGGCTTGTTACCTCAGGCAGGTTGTTTCATGTAACCTAAAATACACTAACTTAGGCAAGTATCATGCCTGCCTCCTGGCCTCGTGTAATTTTGCACATGGTTTATCTTTATAAATTAGCCCAAAACATTAGTTCAACCTTTTTTGTTTTTGTGCACAAATAGCTGTTACCGTTACTTGAATAAACATGTATTACTCTGCCAAAACAAAAACAAATTAGTTAGATTTGCCGATAAAGGGTAAAAGTCAATGTTATGTTAGTGAAACATACGATGTGGAATGACAATAAACAGACAACATTTTTATAGTGATGCAATAATATTGTAATCAATTGGGACTCTTTACTTGGCATCCTCACCTCATAAAATTATAACGGTAGGCCTACTTGAGCAAAATCAGCTTACAAATTTTAATGTAAAAAAAATTAACAGCTGATGTTTCAAATCCTGTTATTAATAATCCAGCTGATTATTTTTTGCCTAAGAGTGTATCACTCTTTTCATACTATATTATGGTTTCCAAGGTTCAGTTGACAGTACGATTTTACCCTGTCCATATGTTTATTTCACATTAAACTGGTTTCTGACTGTAGGGCGACATGAATTTGTTTACAACGTCACAACAAACAATACCCACGCTGCAGCAAACCTGTAGACTAAGCGGATTTCCATTTGCCTGATTAGATTTTCACTTAAATCTATTTAAATAACATTATAAAAAATGAGTACCCAAGTTTGCTGCTACAGAGAGTGTAATAAAGTGTAAAATATTAAGTTTAGTATAAAATAAATAAATTTGCCAAGATTTATCGAAATATATCCATAAACAAGCAAACTACAAACAATTTACTTATTCTCCATAGAATAACGTGGGATTTAAAGTAACAATTTTGGAACAAACGGTTTGAAAATAGGCATTTTTGCTGGAGCATGACAAAAAGGTTTATATAGGTAGGGGGAAATATTAGTCAAGTATCAAATGTAATCTTTTAATTAACAAACAAAATGTATACAGCACATTTCATCAGTCTAACTTACCGTACTACCAAACGGGATAGTATAAAAGACCTCACACTGTTTCCTTCATTCCTGTTTTTTCCTTGGTTGGTAAGACGTAATCAGTCGAGCCAAAACCGCCATGTTGGCACAGAAGAACGCTATTCCTTGCAGCCATATGTACATAAATGTGTTCCTTCCTTTAAACTCGAGCCAGTATGCAGGCAACAACCAGGCGAGTTGAGCTGCGAGCCACAGGAAGGCGAGAGTCGCACATTGTGTCTTCCCGATCTTCAAGTCCGGCAAACACAGCGGCAAGAGAGACAGGAACCAGATGAAGTACTGACATGTGAGTACAGAGTTGTATGCGACCATGACAACTGCTTGACACAACAAGCAGAACAGTAGGTCACGCGAGGAGCCGTACAACAGAGAAAAGTTGAACAGCAAAATCAGTTGTGGTGCTAAAGTCAACACCCGTTGATAAATATTCGTGGAAATGAAGTAGGACAAGTACTGTTGGTAAAAATAAACAGAGAAGTTGTGCCTGATGTCGCGTCTTCTTAAATGAAACAGAAGACTTTCGTCCAAGTAAGTGTAACCATAGAGCTTATAAAACATGAAGGTAAGCCAGCTCAACGCCAGGACACAACCAAAAACTAGTTTTAGTCTTCTTGAGTTGGGAATAAAAAGCTTTATTATTTTGGAAAAAGATGTTTTTGAGCATTTGTAATCCGACGGGATGGAAGAATACATCGCCAAACTGAACGCAATAGGATACAGGCGAGTGTGTATAGCAACCCCGTGAATAACTCCTGCTAAAAAGTAGTTTTCTTTCTTAAGAAACAGAATCGTTAAAATCACTAAGACAGCTGCTAAAGAGTCCCCATTGCCTCTAGTGGAGATGACGATTGCTAGAGGATTGTAAAGCCAAGCCAAAGCACACTTTTCACACATACTCTCACTCACGTTTGGATACTGTAAGGAAACTATTTTCTTTATTAGAATCGCAACAACTACATCCAGTATTGAAAAAAGGAATTTTCCCCAGGCAGGGTGAAAAAACACATTGGGAGTCAACATGTACGCTATCAGTGGAGTATATCTGTATGTGTACCTTTCGTATGGCGACTCACTTTTGAACACATGCCTAGCTGCGTCGGTAAAAACTTTGTAGTCAATGTCTGTGTACTGAACTTCAGACACTTTGTCTTGAATTTCAGCGTAGCAGATCAGCAGCAAACGAGCTGTTAGACCAATTCCTAAGTGGGCTAACATTTTTGGTTTAGACTAGAATTTACGTTTTCAACACTAATGTTCTTCACACCACTCAATATAGCACTACAGTTTTATTTTAAACTACAGTTTCACTAAGAGGTTCACACCCTAGTTCCCATCTTAGCAGCAGCTTTCATGACGCATCGCTTGAGTTGCTCAAATTCTTGTTGGCAGCAGTCCTTCTTCAGATTGTCTTGTTTTGCAGAGATGCATGCAGCGTAAGTAGCTCCTTCAGTCTTACACTCGGCAATCAACTTGGGAAACTTGAGCATTCGAGCACGAGCCTTCGTAACAGACTCCATTCTGAAAAAAGTTCTGAGGATGTAATACAGTTAGTTAATAACTTGAACAAGAATACCTACAACTGACTTTTGGTTACTAAAGTAGACATAGATGTACTAGCTTTATGGAACAGCTGCCACCAATCATTTATTTAAAAAGAACAAAGTTGAATGAGCCAGTCTAAAATTATAATTTTACCTTATTTTTTTACCGATAGATTGAGATAGTTGTTGAAGTGACCTAAAAGATGCCATGGTTTGCAATAGGTCAGTCATGTTGGTTTGACTTGGTTAAAAGTATGCATATTCAACCAAAATCATTAATTAATATCGTCATAGTCAACTATTGGTGGCTCGATCCTGACAACTACGTTCATTTTGACTCTAAAACTGGCGACAACTTTAACATGGGAATGGAATTTATACTTCTATCGATAGTCAAAGCTACAATCAATACATTACTTCAGACAAAAGGTTTAACAGTAACAAAAGTAGGCCTATATAATTTACTATGGCTTTTCATACAGTATCAAAGGCAAAGCAAAAATAATGCCACTCTCCAGGTAAATCTTAAAACAAGCAACAAGATTTGTATCATGGATTGAGTGATCAAATATTGTATTTACATATGTCTTTAATCAACATTTGTATGGAGTATGCTTTTTGATCTTGGGCCATCATCAGCACCTGGTCATACGCTAGGTTTAATTGCACCTTGGCTTTTTTGGTGTTTGAGAGGCTGTGTTAGTTAATTGATAGATTTATTTTCACACAAACATAAAAATACAACAAGGGACAATGAAAAGAATAACTGACGTAGCTGCCGCAGCATTAATGCAGCCAAGTTGCAAGTAAACCTAGCGTATGACGAGGAGCTGATGATGGCGCAAGGTCGAAACTCATTTAGAGAAATTTTGATTGAAGATGTAAGTAATTACAATAAATACTTTTTAGCTAAATAACTTATGCATTTTGGATGTTCTTGTAAAAAAAATTGACAACTTAATTCATCAACTACTTACAAGTCTACATTTTGTGCCAGCTTACCTATTTTACAGGACGAGGGTGCAATTGAACATCAGCACGTTTCAATGGTTTTTGGTCTGTATAGTAGAGATATGTGTCGTATAATGGTTTGCTGAGGACTGTGAGCAGACCGAGCCCTGCTGCTACAAACTGGAGGTGTCTCGTATATCTGTATATAAACGGCAAATCTTTCACTCGAGCACGTCTCACATCTATCTTCTTCCCCGGTAAGTTAGGATTCTCTTCCTTATGAAATTCAATTTCATCAACTCTCCCAAAAAACGACTTTTTCTCTTTCCAGGGACTACTAGGATTTTTGTTCATCCTTTGCTTGGTGCTGAAACAAAATTACAGAGAGATTAAAAGACGCAGTGCTTGACGGTTAGATACATTTTGAAAAGAAAAAGGCAATACGAGGGAGTTACTGAAGGATAGGTATTTAGATTTTAATGGTGAATGTTAAAATTGAGTTCTCCTAGCACATTGATACATGTATACAAAGAGAAAGAAAGAGAATGTATACAAAGAGTTTTTTGAGGTGAAACAAAAAATTGTAAAGAAGACTTTTAGGGAAATAGAGAAAAGGGGAGATTGTGCTGAACAGATTCCTTTGTTGGCAGCAATATTTACCATGTTCCATCCATAGGCTAGTTATTCCCAAGTGCACATTGGTGACAGATACCCTTACTAATTGATGGAATTAAAGGAATCCACCTATGCTGGAGCAATATTTTTTCAAATCTAACTTAAAGCAGGAGCCAAAACCAACAACAGGCCTATGCGTATTAACGCATATACTTGAAAGATTTTATAGCTTTAATACTACGGTACCTACTTTATTTTACTTTAACACTTTACTTTGAGATGGCGACCTCACAAATATGTATTTTAAGCCAAGTATGAATGGAGATGAGTGTAGGATGAGTGGCAGAGAGAGAGAGAGAGAGAGAGAGAGAGAGAGAATCTTTATTGTACAATCTTCAAGATTAACAATGGAGTCAGAATACATATAATAAAATGAAACCTAACATCTTAATTTACGTTTCAAAGTTCTGCCAGTCCATGAATTCACTCATTTTGTAAAATGGATGCAGGAGTAGCCATTCGGAGAGTCTTCTCTTGAACATATTAGGGGAGGTTCTCTTCAATTCTGTAGGCAGTGCGTTAAAAAGTTTAGCTCCAGTATAAGATGGCTTCAGTTGGAATCGCAGCGTGTGATGTACTGGTAAGTTGAAGTCCTGAGCATTTCTCGTATTGTGATCGTGGTTGTTGAAATTTCGTTGCAGGTTCTTGGAGACGGCAAAGCAGATCACTTCCAGCAGATAGATATTGATCACAGTTTGAAGCCTTAATTCTTTAAAGGATCTTCTGCAGCTTTCTTCATTTTTGAGATTAGCCAGCACTCGGACAGCACTCTTTTGAACCACAAGGACGCGCTTTAAGTTGTTAAATGATGCAGCACCCCAAAGAACAATTCCATACCGCAAGTGGCACTCGAACAGAGAGGTGTAAGCTATCTTGACGGCTTCATCAGAGCTGATGTGCTTCACTCTTCTGATGGCAAATTTTGCGCTATTTAACTTGTTGCATAATTCATCAACATGATCAGTCCATAACAAGGATTCATCAATTACTAGGACTAGGTGTTTTGTAGCGTCCACCCGATCGATATTAGGAAGCTGTGACACATCCGCTTTCAATCTGCCCAGAGTAAGCTGTTTTGTCTTTGCTTCATTGAAGACGAGGCCATTCTTATTACAATACTCCATAGCCATGTTAACAGCAATGAAGGACTGGATTTCTAGATCTTCCTTATTTTTATGGGCTGTGACGAGAACTGTGTCGCCTGCATACATAATTGCATTGCAGTAAGGACCAGTGTAAGAAGGCAAGTCTGATGTAAAAAGTATAAAAAGAATAGGGCCCAAAACAGAACCTTGTGGAACACCTCTATTAGTTGGAAGCCTATTTGATCGGACCGAAGAAATTGATCCATTCAAATTTTTCTTAATCTCCAACACCTGTTCTCTTTCTTTCAGGTAACTCCCAAACCACAAAATAGCTTTATCCTGAAAGCCAAGAGCACAAAGTTTCTTTAATATTAGGTCATGGCTGAGGCAGTCGAAAGCCTTTCTCAAGTCCAGAAAAACACTCACAACAGTCTCACCATCTTCAAGTTTGTCTACGATGTACTCAATAAGACACACAAGCGCTGTAGATGTTGACCTCTTTGGTGTGAAACCATGCTGTTCCCTAAGATTAATGTCATTCAGTTTAAGGTGCATTGCTGCCTTTTCAATAATTTTGGAAAAGGTTGAGATCAGTGAAATCGGCCTATAGTTTTCCACTTCATCCTTGCTGCCTGCTTTATGAAGGGGGATCACTTTCGATATTTTCATTTTGCTAGGGACATGGCCATTCTTAAAGCTCAAATTGAAAATATGGAGCAAAGGTGTTATAAGCTCGTCCTTGCAATACTTCACCATCAGCGAAGAAAACTCATCAAGACCCGATGATGTTTTGTTCTTCATATCCGAAATTATCTTGTGAAGCTCTTCCTTTGTAATGGGGTTTAGAATGAAAACAGGGGCCTCAATTTCCCATACCCTAGATTGCGTGTACTCAGTATCTTGAAGTCCATTCTTCTTTAGTGTTTCTTCAGCTATTGATGTGAAGTACTTGTTAAACTCATTGGAGATTACCATAGGATCGTCAACTCTTGTGTCCCCTAGGTTGAGTCTTTGAATGTAAGAAGTTTCTTGTTTTTGCTTCCGTTCACTATTAATGATCTTCCAAATGGCTTTTCCTTTGTTATTTGATTCTGAGATAAAAGTAGTACTTGCTTCTATTCTAAGTGCACGCAGCTTCAAATCATATGACTTTTTAAGATTATTAGCAATTTCCTTGTCTGCTCTACTACCACTTAGAACATATTTGTCATGAGCTTTCAGAAATCGTTCCCTCAATTTGGAAGCCTCCGCATCAAACGCATTCTTGACTGGCCCATTCGCCCTTCTTCGGGTTCTTTTCAAAGAACATGAACTATTCAGAGCCTGTGTAATCAAGGTGAGGAAATTGTTGTAACTTTCCTCAATATTGTCACATTCTAAGACTTCAGCCCATGACTCATTAGCGAGTAGTTTCTTTAGATCTCCTAGACTATTGGGATTCATATGCCTGCAAGTAGTTGAGATAAAGGTGTTTTCTCTCACTGCGAGATTTAATTCGCAGAACTGACCTGTGTGATCTGAAATACCAGTTTGTTCCACATGCACTCTCAATTTGTCCTTGCATCCAGAAGAAATACAGATCATATCAATGGAAGAAATTGTGTCATGCATAATGCTAGTTGGAGGGAGATTAATCCTTTCAATGTTGTAGGCTGCCAGTAGTTCTTTAAGTTGGGATCTTTCTGTAGAAGGTTGGAGGGAGTTAACATTAAAATCTCCAATGATTAAGATGACTATGTTCCTGGTATTTATCCAATGATCTAGGATGGTTGATAAAGTCTGTAGGGCTAAGAGGAAGGATTCCTTGTCATGTTTAGGTGGGCGGTATATACCCAGAACGTAAAGGCTTGATTTCCTATCTAAGTTTATTACAACAGCTGATACTTCACATATCATGGGTGTGCTTAAATGCTCAACATTCAATGAGGAGATTTCATTTTCTAGGTTGTCTTGCTTGTATATTGCCACTCCTCCTTTAATAGTATGGTCTCTACAAAAAGCAGACACCAGACTATAGTTCATCAATTTAGTGTTAGATATAGTGCTCGTACTTTGACCATGCTCAGTCACTATGACCAAATTAGGACTGGTTTTATTGAGCAAATGATTTAGCCGGTCGACTTTATTTGCTATTCGGTCAGTATTTTGATGAAATATAGTTAAGTTCTTGTTCCCATTGCTGTTGAATTTCCAAAACTCGTTCTGATATTGTTGGGACTCTTCAATTTCGTCTTCTTCCTGTGACGTTCTTCTAAAAAATTACGAGAATCATTCACTCCAATCCCAGTCAAAAGATCTGCATCCTCATGTCCCGCCGAGTGAGAGTTTCGTCTTGTGGCTGGCAGCACAGCTTTATTTTCTATAGTTATAGCTGTGTTATTGGCCTTAGGTTGATCCACTTCATGAGTTGGGGGTATATATGAAATCAGAAATTCTTCTATATTATTGTTAAAAAAGTCTTCAAAAGAATGTCCTTTTGGTAGAATTTTGGCAGTAATTGGATTAGGTCTTTTACGGTTGATTTTTCCTTTGGTCTTAGGTGTGCCTGGGGACCCTAGGCACGGGCTATTAGGCTATCGATCACAACTACGCACGGCGTTAACGTGACGGATCTCCTGAAGCTCTAGAGAAGTTAACCTTTTTTCCAGTTTTGAATGGTTGCTGGATAGCTTGTTAATTTCTTCCATCAATTTGTCAACTGTAGAAACATTTTCCTCTGTTCCCTGTGGGGGCGATTTTACAACGGATTCTTTTGATGGGGATTCTCTGGAGTTAATTGAGGCTTTGTTCAGCTTCTCTGTTAATTTAAGTAAGCCATGAATTTTTTCTTCCTGAGCCTCGATTAATTCAATATGTTGATTATCATATTCTTCGTAGAGTTTTTGCAAATTTTTCTTGTCCACATTCAGTTTTTCAAGGTGGTTGTTGCTATCTTCCAACAGTAGAAGTAACTCTTCTTGTCTTTTTCGTAGTCTATCGTTATTTTCCTGTAGGTCTTCAATTTTCATAGACAAATGCATTATCTCATTGTTTTGCTGGAAAATACGATCCTTCAAAAGTTTGATTTCTTCTAGTAACGCATTTCCGATTTCACCAGCCATTCTTAAAGCGTTTTCTTTTGGAAAAGCATCAACCGTCGTGTCTTTCAAGCTCAATTCTATTTCTAGTTCATCTAGTGTTTTCCCTAGCAAATTTGGCACTAGACAATTATCCTCGTCATTTGTAGATTTGTTCGGTGATTTTTGTTGTACCGGTTCGCATGCAGGACACATCCATTTTTCTTTCTTGCGATCTTGGATAGAAATATAATGATCCTTGGACATCCCCATACATTCCGTGTGAAACCAGGCTTGACAGTTTCCTTCACAAAATACAGCAAACTGTGTTTCTAGTGTTTCCAAACCACATAGTGGGCATGCAGATATTTCCGACATCTTCTCTCGAAAAAGTATTTGTTATAGTAGGCCTACTGTATAGTTACTAACAACGTGATCAAAAAGGCTGTGGCATTGAAAATTTTTTAGTGAGTGGTTGGTACTTGTGTCGCTGGTATGACGTAAGACAGTGTATTAATGTGATTGGTTGGTTGGATTTGTTGGCTGTTTGGTAGGGGTCTGCGGTACAGAAAATTTAAGGTCGGTACGGTTCGGTACGGTACAATATTTTGTACCTCGGTTCTCGGTACAAAATCGGTACGGTACGCGGCTACCCGTATTTTTGCGGTTTTCTTCTCAGAACTGTATCTAAACCATTATTTTTAACTTTAATACATAGACATTACTATGAAAATGGATAGTATCCTACATTCATGGTTTTCTAACATTAATTACTGTACCACATATTATTAAAACAAAACCTTTTATTACTACGAAGATTGTGTCAAGAAAAATCACAGTTGAGATAAAGGCTTTACCTATTTTACTCTGAGATACTTTGAAAATAGTGCATATAGTGCATAGTTTAAAAATAGGATAAGAGTTTTTATGAATAAACATCTTTGAAACATTTATTGACAAGATAATTTCACAAAACTGGTAAATTATTTCCAACCAACACAATGTCTAGTTGTTTTTTTTAAATTTTAAAAACACATAAAAACATTCAGTAGAAGACGGTGTAGTTTTGCCAGCTGTTCACAGCAGATGACAATGAAAAACTGGAGGTTATGATGAAGTAATGGCAAAGACCATTTTTTTTATCAGCTTCAAAACTAGTTAAGTTATAAGATGGATACAATTCTTGCTAAGTTTTTTTCTGAAACTAAAATTTGGATTATCATAGAGTAAGATTTGATGTTGGGCAATTAGACTTTATAACTGTGTAAAAGGTGTGTATCCCTGAATTTATAAATTGCTTTCTACACTTATTCACTGCCAAACATAATTCAGTAGAACCTTGATGAACCGAGAATTACACTAGCCTACATAACTTCATTACCCCAAGTAAAATACCAAGATAATTTTTATAATTGTATTTGAACCGTATAATCTTAGTTTGTTAAAAATGGATTGTATGTTCAACAATAATTGCAGTCCATTATTGTTAAGCAGTATGGTCCAAAATTATTGTTTTTGATTTTGAAACATCACAGTTCATCTGACAAAATTATAGTTGAAGCAGCTCAATGCCAAGTCACGCTTGTGCAATAGTTTGTTTACATGCTTTCTCCAGACCACGGGGGAGGGGGGTGTCTGATAAGCCGTCTATTGTTCACCCCCAAGAAGGTCCGACCCTCATTAGTGACGCTCGGCTGCACTCAGTGGGGAACCCAATACCACAAATCAATCTTTTAAATGAATACAAATATTTGGTAATAATTGTTTTATTAATATTCACCTTGAAATTTCAATAAATTTGGTGTAAAATTTGAAAAAAAAACTGCCATTTGGACCGATTATTAATACAATACCAAATACCAATAAAGTAGTACATTCATTGGTAATTAAATAATAGGTAAAAATTTACCGATTTTCGTCAAGTTTTACCCCCTGCTGTGCGCTATGTCACAAAAGCTGATAACGACATGGGTGATTAGTAACCATGGCAACTTGTTGAATGCGTGATGAAGGGAAACCCAAGAAATAGAAGAACAAAGAGAAAGAATGACGTTGTTATCTTTATACCCTTTTTACAATTTCCGTTATTGTTATCTTTATGTAAGATTTTATGATTTTGTTTTATAGGTTTATAAAATAATTCTTTTTAACTACGGGAATATCAATTTATAATTTATCAACGTGCTTCTCTTCTGAAACAGCAATACCGGATGCATAATAAAGGTCAATGGCCTAAAATATCACGATTGTGCAATATATTGTATTTTGATGTTGAAATTAAAATCACGACAAAAGTTTGTATATATCCATGGTCCCTATCTAATCATATAATATGTACACAATCAATGCTAAATAATCGTGGTTAGTTCTAACTTAATTTTTTATTATTCAAAGTTTTTACACAGTAAGACAATCCAAAGTCAAACCGGGCAATGAATACCCAGAAAACAACGTATCTTGTCCTGTGATTGGAATACCACTCGCCGGCCAGTCCTTTAGGTTTAGGGAAGTAGTGCAAGTCTAGCTTCAAGGTCTTACCCACCCCTTCCCCCTCCGGTCCTACTTGACTCACTACCCGCGCTCCTTTCAAGGTCATTGCCCAACCCCTCCCACCCTTCTATTGTGTTGCCTTTCTATTGTTTCTATTCCGACTTTTTTTTCGGGAAACATTAGTATCTAGTTCATAAGATTTAGATTGTATAAAGTACCTTCAACACAATAAAAAATACAGGAAACTAAAAAACATTTAAGCCTTAAACAGCCACATCTACCAATATAGGACAAGATACAGAACATGCAATGACATACAATTTGAGTACAATGACGGTAATTTGAGACCGAGTAGGCTTGCATAACGAAAAAAATATGCGAACAACAACAACTATGCTTGTGGTTTCGTAAATAGAAAGATAAAATATCCATAACAAATATTTTAATTTATAAAATAAGATTGTAGATTAGTTACAAGTTTAATATGTAGCCATAAACAGTTTTGTGGCAGTAGGCAATGGCCAGCGGCAAATTCAATATTCACGAAAATACTGATTAAGTTAGAGATAACATTTAACAGTCATCATAAAACTATTATTTTTATGATAAAACAGAATTGGGGAAAGTCGTAAAGAAATAAAAGTGATAAAACTCAACAGTTCTTGGAAGTACTTCAATACAACAATTATTGTCGTGATAAAATGTTAATGGATTTGGGACTGCTAATGGGTTTTTTATTACATCATCACGCTAGTAATAAATTATGAAGATCGTAAACAAACATCTGATAAGACTTTTATGTGCTCGGAACCAACTGCCGTTGACTACGATAGTAATCTGAAAGTAATTTATTATTATAATAGGCTGTACCGAACCGAATTTGTACCGTGTAAAATGCTGTACCGAACCGATGACGGTAATTAAGCTTGTACCGTACCGTACCGACTTTTTCTACCGTACCGACTTTTTCGGTGCACCGCAGACCCCTACTGTTTGGTTATGTTTACTTCTTCTTCTTGTTTAGTGAGGTTAGCCACGAGTGAGGGATAGGCCTGGAATTAGGACAACGTTTGTATACAATTGTAATTGTGTTAGTTACATTCTTTACATTTAGGTAACTCACAGCATCTCCATAATTATGATTATAACACAAATTTGCCGTAAAGTTATGTAAACTACCTCACTTTGGGCAACACACTCAATACGATGTTTACGCGCCAAATCCACCTGCAAAGCCAATTCGATCTCGTAGTTGACTATGGCCGACTTGTTAGTGACTAAGACCGATATATTCCTTAGACACAGCTTTTAATTAATAGCCCATACAGCCAATGGCAACTAATGGACCTACAGTTTATAGTGGAATCCGAGCTAGCTAATGCTCAAATTAACTAACAACAATGTGAACAAGTAGGGTACTAACCAAATCTGTCTTAATTCCTGAGCAGGATGTTGAAGCTGATCCCCACTTAACACAGCAATTCCTCAGATATTCTATGAACTGTGTACATTTCTCTTCTTGAAAATTGTTCTCTGAAATAAAGAAAACATTACCGTACTAAACCTCTTGATTTTTAGCCTGGCTACTCAACAAACATAAAACACAATTTTCAAAACGCTCATCACTCAATAGGGTACATAATTTGTCAAAAGCTGCGAAGCAACATCAGTAGGAATTTATTGTAAAAAAAATAAGTTAAATCGGTTACTAACTCTGCTGGAAGTCACTTTATTCTTTAACTCATTGACAACAGTGATGTTTTTAATTTCTCTCCCAATAATATTTTTTTTTTAGGTTAACTTAAGTTAGGCTATGTCCTTTTACGTCTTTTAACATACCTATTTATTTCTACATGATATGATATCTGTGTCCTCCCTTGAACCAATCTAAATAGAAGCAATAAAAAGGTTGTTAAAATGTTTATTGTGGACATTTTCCATCACACACATTTAAATTTTTTTGGACATTTTACGATGGTAAAAAACGATGGCCTCCATCATGTTAGCCTATAGGCTACAATGTTTTGGGATCTGGAATCTTATCCCGTCCTCAGGTGAAAAAAAAAACAAAAACTTGACTAACACATTACAACTAACAATACCTACACAAACGCCCAACCTAAGTTGGAATACACTATAGCAGGAGGGAGGGTAGCAGTCAAAAAATATGCACTGTATAGCAGTCAAGTAGGCCTAACGTAATGATTCAAAAAATCAAAATAAAAAAAAAAAAATTTAAACGCCTGGAGATAGGCTACTATGGATTAATACCTGCAGGCATAACTTATAGAATTTCATAAAAATTGGATGACAGGTGTAGTCTGTATCTCTGTACACATTCACACATACAGACACAAAAATAAGTACCTACACACACAGACATCACTTCAAAAACCACTTTTTTGGGCCCAGGAGGTCCAAAACGGGCCACTCGAAACTCAAACTCGAAAATCTTGATGAAAACAATACAGTATTTTCTCCATGTAATGGGGAGAAAGTAAAAGGTAAATTCACTAAATGGGTAAGCCTACAGTTTCTTAACTGGGCAATGCTTATACTGTATCGATTGAAATTATCGATTTGATTACTAAACCTTCATTCGTTTTTTTCATTATCAGCAGGTTTAGTTAAGTTTAGTTTAAAGGTTAGGTTATGACAGTTTAATTTTATAATTTATAGAGTAAAAAGGATAAATTATTAATCGATATTTTCAAATCGATAGTTTTAATTGATATTTAGCATAGCCCAGTTAACCCATTCGATGCTAGAATATTTTTAGAGTTATTTACTTATTTTGTTCGAAAAGTGCTAGGCTTGCGACGGGGACAAGGTCTAGTGTGCGAGAAAAAAATACCGGTATGTAAAAATAAAATTTTTATCTCAAAAGTGATAAGGAACGATAAATTGGCCCTCAATCGTATGAGGGGTGTTTATTCCGTATAGGTGCCTCCAAACGAATTTTTAATTTTGATATCTTACTTTATAGTTTTGTACCTCCTGAATCCAAATATACCATTATTTTTCACCGCTGATGAATATTTCTCAAGATATCGCTGTAAAAACATTCAAAATTACAATAAACATGGTAGGATGGATAACATTTACAAAGTGGAATGAACTGTGGGTAACTAAGCCTACAGCTGACTGTTTCAACCACACGACAAGCAACTGGAAGTAACAACTTTATTAACTCACTCTGATTCTATAATCGGCATTATGCCTAGTGACGTAATTTTACTTCACTACAACTAGAACTCAAAACAAAAATACTCATACTCATACGTGCTGTGTAGTGCTAGTCTGCTACGCCGTTACAAGTCCAGGTTAAGTGAAGAGAGTAACATGGTTGATGAGAAGAAGAACATCGTTGATTAAACATGATAACATCGTTGTAGAAACATTTCAAGTGATTCTGTAGTCAATAATGTTTTCTATAATAGTAATTTTGTCACATTATGGAGATATAGATGGACTGGTGGACTAATTACATAGCCTACTGTAGTTCTTATTTAGGTATGTCAGGGTGGTAGGTTGTGCTGTATGTGAATTGGTGACTGCATTAAGTCCTTTTTAAGGTAGGTTAGAAGTTTAGGTTATAATGTATCGGGTTGTTAGTTTATGTCGCCTGCAGACTGTTTTTGTAAAATTAAAATCCTGAGAAAAACACTTCAAATGTGTGTTCAAGTGTTTTTCTGGATTTTAATTTTACAAAAACAGTCTGCAGGCGACATAAACTAACAACCCGATACATCATAACCTAAACTTTAACTTACCTAATCTAACCTACTGTACCTTAAAAAGGACTTAATGCAGTCGCCAATTCACATAAAGCACGACCTACCACCCTGACATACCTTTTCTGACATCAAAAGGAGTTTGCTTACATTCTAGATAGGGATCCCAGACGTCCTCTTTTTCCCGGACACGTCCTCTTTTTGGGTACAAAAAAAAACGTCCGGGGGGATTTTTGGCAATACTTTCAAATGTCCGGGATTTTGACTTTGTGAGAGAATAAAAAAATATTTCTGCAAGTATTAATATTAGCAATCAGCTTTTATAATTAATCGTCATCATAACATTAAACTAAGTTAAAATACTACACTTTAATAATATCTTACTAAACTATTATACCAGGGGAATTTTAATAGTTTTTATTGCAAATTGTTCTACTAAATTGAATTCATTGTAGTCTTTACACTTATGGCGAACGAATGGACTAATTACAAACTCTAACCCAAACCTCGGGACCGTTCGAGTCTGACTATTTTTTGTACGTTATGAAAAGTAGGGAAGATCGGCAGACGACGGACGCTTTCAGCCATATACGGCAACGGCAGTGTCCGATGCTGGCGTTCGACGTTCGGCCGCATTCTTCTTATTTAATTTTTCAGCATTTAATATTACCATTAATTTTAACCTAGATGGTTGAAAACTTGAATTAAGTATTGGATAAAGAAAAGAAGTTGTATCAAAGTCCAAGCTTGAAGGGTAGTTGAATATTAATTTATCTGAGTTCAGCGATAGGAATTTGTTATTACAGTAATGTAACTCAATGATTATCATAGAAAATTTTTTAGATTTCAATATTAAATCATTCATATTCAGAGCACCTAATATCATATTTAAGAATAACACTACCCAATTGGTATGTTGCTAGCCACAAAAAAAACAACAAAATGGTAGTCTCTCAGACTTAGATGCGGAAGGGACGGATTTAATTCCCGGCACAACCACTGACAACCACAAAAAAGTTGCACAAAAACTTTATTCTCACATTGACCCCTTGTAAAATGCCACTGGCGTAGAAAAAAATTAGAGCACTGAGAACCAACTCTTCAGGCGGTAGCAGTGACGGGACGCCGACGGCATCGTTAGTTGGGTAGTGTACTTTGTGTAGGAAACTGTTGCTTGCTGGGCAGGTATAATGCAGTCGTGTTGGGTGCTAGTTCTTAAACACTTCTCAGATAAAATAAGTTCTCCGGTTCAAAATCATGGTCTGATTTAGGACAATTTCTGTTTAGCATGCACATTGGCACCAGGGTGTTTTTGTAAATCAAGCATGCTTGAATGTGTTGTAATGTTGCGGTATTCCTTTGATATTAAAACCACAAGCCTCAATAATAAAAAAAAACATGACATTATACAAGTACAAGTTTATTTTTTAACATTTCTTGACCTTTAAAAAATAAACTGGGAAGCTTGAACACATTAAACTAGGTCCTCAAAATAGCTTAAAAAGTACTAATTTTAGTACGTTATTCCCAACATTTTCCCGGGGGGACCCCCCGGACCCCCCTTCTTTGCTGGGGGGTATTCCATACCCCCCAGGCCCCCCCCCCAAAAATATATGTCTAGGACCACCCTTGGTGGGTAATTTTGTCCTCTTTTTTGATGGAGGGTCCCTGGGAACCCTAATTCTAGAGGTTTGGTTAGGTTAGGTTATTTTAGAATAGCACCATTTTATTATGTAATTTCTAAACAGCGAAATATAAATCAATAAATCATTAATAAGGATAAAATACTGGTAGCAATAATAGGTACATTTTATTAAATGTATTAACTTATTGGTCTTAGAAAGTGAAAAGTGTAACTTAATCAGGTGATTTTCATATTGCAGAATCAGAGTTAGCTAATTAAAGTTGTCACTTCCATTTGCTTGACTATGATTGAAAACAATCAGCTGTTGGCTTACTTAACCCTCCAAGTGTCCATAGTTTAGGCCTTAATGTCCACCTATTTTTGGCGCATTTGCAAGGTTTTATTAAAACGGATCTGAGATAAGCTTAAAACAATGTTAATTCTAATGTTCTATATACCATTTTGTTTGGAAAATCATGGGCTTCAATATTATATATAAAACATAAGGAACATTTTTTCAAAAAAAAAAATTTTTAGGTAAAAAAAATATAATTTCGAAAATTTTCAAAAAAAAAAAAAAGTTCGCGCTCAATGAAATTGTATAAATTATAGGCCTATAAATATTTGAAAATAGCCACTTTGTTCTAAATTTTATGAGGATTACAAATATATAATAATATAAGGAAGTATATTTGCAAATAAATAAGTTATGGGCAAAAAACTGATTTCAGTACATAGCGTTTAGCTAAGAATGCATAGCCTAACCATAGCTAGGAATCTGACTGATAATTTACATCGATATCACTACCTACTTCTTCAGGATCATCAACCAGCACTTCAAAACCACTTAAATCTTCTTATAATGCACCACGTATATCACTACTTTTGATTTTTAACACTAAAACAATGATAAACGTAATAAAACACATCAGTCATCGGTCCGGGGGAACCTAGCTGTTTACAAATACACGCACGTCAGCTGTCTGCTACAATATTTTCGGAACTAAAATGAATAGCGCTTAGAGACAGACCTCTGGAGAAAGCTTAGAATATTACGGAAAGAACGATACCTAACTCGATCCAGTTCAATCCGATTCAGTCAGTCATAGAGCCTTCGCCGTAAACGATGTCTGCGTGTCGAAAAATCGACAAGTAACACTACACAATGTGTGCTGCTTGTCGAATTTTCGTCAAGTAACACTGGGAGGGTTAACCCATAGTTCAATCCACTTGTAAATGTCATCCATCCTACCTTGTTTATTGTAATGTTGTATATTATTACGGCGATATCTTGAAAAATATTCATCAGCTCTGAAAAATAATGGTATATTTGGATTCAGGAGGTAAAAAACTATAAAGTAAGATATCAAAATTGAAAATTCGTTTGGAGGCACCTCTACGGAATAATTATCGTATGAGGAATCAAAAGAAACCATCACTGTTTCGAAACAACAACCAAGTCAACCGATATGCCCATTTAAACTTACACGATCAAAAGTCATGCCGGGACAATATACTTATCGTCACTTACCGTTTTTCGGATGAAAAACTAACGATAACTTATATATCGTTCCCATAGGACTTTTCTGGATAAAGATGCACAACAATAGGTCTTATCGTTGCATAGCACTGAAAGGGTTAAAAAAATGTACCCCACTAAATAGGCCCTACCTTGTGTGTCATCGTCATAAACTAAAAACCTAGCCTAAATGGTGCAGTGATATTAACGAAGCCCAGTTAATAAACAGTACAGAAACAGCCAAGGTGAGTGGCTCTCTAGTAGAAATGGCCTTACTTAGTGTAAATTATAGCATAAAAAATAATATTAGGCCAATTTAAGTTATATTGAGAATGAACGTTTCATCCAATGATATAGGTAGAGGTTCTCTGTGGAACTTTACCTAAGTTACCTGAACAGGCGCTTCTATAGCCTATCAGTTTTAACTTCAGCAATTATTCTCTGGATAGCATTTTCATGTAAAAGCTTTCATGAAAGAGACGATTGTTGGAACGGAAGTCTTATTACCTAATAATCGGAATTTATAACCTAATAATTGGAAGTCTTAATCTAATAAAAAGCTTGTCTGGGATATGTAAAATCTTATTGCAAATATTCACAGGAAAACGAACCTTTTAAACACTTCTGAATCGCACACGCATGAATTTTACAAGGATCTTTCTTGTTCATGAATTAATTTGCTTTCAACACCAATAAATGTCACGGGCTTAGGTTAGGTAGGTGTTCACGTTCACTCGAATAGCACTAACAAACAAGTCGTACTACTAAAAAACGCAAGTCTATTAAAGAACAAAAGTTGTTTTAAATAATGACGTCACATTTTACAGTATAAATAAAAACTATTACTAAGCTAACATTTCATATCGCCGTAAGTTAGAGAAGTCTGGTTTTTCCACTCCACACACAAAACAACACAAGTTAAAGTTGATGACTTTTATGACGACATGACATTGACGGATAGCCTAGGGTTCAAGGTTCACTACGATACTCGGACAGAATACGATTAAATCGATCTATCAAGAGTCTGCGATTACACTATCGATATTGAATTGTGTACACTATCGATATCGGATAATCTGATTCGAGTTTGTTGTTGGATCTGAGTCTGTGAGTATTGAGTTTTCAATTTCAATCGGACTCAAATCGTCAACTCTAACTCTACTCTACTCAACCCACCTCTACCTACGTAAAGCCGGGTTTTCCTAGGCGCGTAGTCGGCCAGCGGAGAGAGGAACGCGGAGAGCGGACTCAGCTTGTCTTAGGTAATTTAATGTTACTGTTTTGGAGAGCACTTTTTCACCTCAAATTAGTTGACGAATATCGAAACTGGAAAATCGATACTTTTACCGTTTGATTGTTTTAGAGTAATTGAATCGGAATCGGAGTAAATTTTATTGGTTTGACTGAGACCACTGAGACTGACTAAGAAGTTTTACAAACTCATGGCTTTAATTTTAACTTTCAATAGGCTATTAAATTTTAAAATATAAGTTAAACCAAAGATTACATAGCATATGTAATCTTTGGTTAAACCTTTTAAGTGGTGGGCCTCTTATAAAACAGACCCCTTGAGCTGAATAAATTGATACTAAATAAGTTACTGTTACATTCAATTCAAAATTCAATACTCTTGAGTAGATACTATAATCATATCGACCTCCAGACAAAAAATGAGATTAATGAAGGAATCAGGATTAAAATTTCTAAGAACTGTGAGCAAGGTCATAATTTTGTAATTTTTCATTCATCATTAAGCTTTAAAATTAGTCTTAAGAGTTAGAAAAGAGTAAATTACACACCCTCTCAGGAAGGAGAGGAATTTTGGCATTTTTTACAAGAGCTGGGTTGATACTAACAATAATAATACAAATTAGGTAATAGAAATGGCCTCCATCTGATGATATTCAGTTTTTTATTAAAACAAATTCTGGTCAATGAACATAACCTTAGCAATAAGCTTTTGAACTGTTGACATTGAATTTTATTCCCATTACTATCGACTGATAAATAGAAACTGAAGAAGAATTTGTTCGTAAGGTATTAACAAATTTATGTATTCTCTTAAAATTGACATTACGTCTCTAGGCGCTACAAATTGTTCTCTCCTAATGATCTACCATTAAAGCAAACTGTCAAGTCAAAGGAGAACGGGAAAGGATGGAGTGGGAGTGAGTGGACTATCGATATAACGATGCACTAAATTCAATTCTAAAAACAATCGAGCTGTAAAAGTATCGATTTTCCAGTTTCGATATTCGTCAACTAATTTGAGGTGAAAAAGTGCTCACCTACTGTTTTCCTAGCAGCGGAGCGGAATGCCATGTTAATTTCAATTCCGCTCTCCGTTGTCCGCTCTCCGCTGGCCGACTCCGCGTCTAGGAAAACCCAGCTTAAGCGTAACAGCAACAGCATTGACTTTATATCTCTACACGATATAAAGCCAATGGTAACAGTTTCTTTCTGCTGACTTCTGACAAAGCCTTAAAAGCAGGTAGTGTAAAGTATACCATTTCGTTGCAAGAAATACGAATTTATATTTAAAAGTTGCAACTACAAAATAGGCCTAATATTGAATTTTAATAAATTAACTAATAACTATTAGTTGCAGTTTTGACGAATTGGATCAGTTGCTGAAGAGGTCTAAATCCGAAGGTCTAATTAGATATTCAGCACACATCCACACGTGTCTGTGTGTGTGTACAGACCGATGAAGTCCAATTTAATGTTATTTTGTTTGTAGATCCTTGTCATCTCTAGGCATTTTTTATTAGAAAAATTTGAATTTCGATAATTTTCCATAGAATACGGGAAAAATAAAATTTTCTCAAAAACGGTCCGAACGATTTTAAGTTGATAGCGATTTAGTATTTTACCTAGTGTTTTAAATTTTGAACGAAACGGTACAACTCCCATACCTGTAAAAGTTACAATTACTTTCCCATTAAATATAACACAAAAACTGATTTTTTGAAAACAGCAGGTTCTTATTAAATTTTGTCTGTTATGGTCCACAAAATATGAAAATAAGTGTATAATACAAAATGTTCAATAAGATGTAGGCCCTATAATAATTCTAAACAAAATAATACAACCCCCATTGTTGGTTTGAATTTTAATTTGTAATTGCTGTAACAGTTCAATTTAAAAGCCTTTAGCACCATCTGTTCAATTCATATAAAGTGGAACCTCGATAACAAGTCACCCTTGATAACAAGGGTTATTTTCAAATCCCCTTGAAATTATTTTACCCCTAATCATATGTTATTGCAAACCTCGATAACAAGTCTTATTTTATAATACTCCCTACAAGAGTTGTTATCAAGGTTCTACTGTAAATTATAGCCTATACCATGGATAAAACATACTCCCTTAGACTTGTTTTGCTCAGTTTAGTCTATGCCTATACACATATATAATTCAAAGTCAAAATTAAGAGTAAAAATAATCCAATTATGATGAAATTTGTTACAAACGTGTAAAACAATGTTTGTTGTAGCGTTCCGTTCATGAACCAGCATGACCAGACTATGAGCAGAGGTAAAAATGGGGTTTCCTCATGTTTGACCCTATAAAAACTTCAAAAATTTTTGTAAATAATTTATTACATGTAAAAAAAATAATTTATCAACCTATTTTGCAGATAGCTAAATGATTACCAGTAAGTTGAAATACCCCCGCCGCAGCAAACCTGCCGTCTAAGCGAATTTCCATTTGGCTGAATTGATTTTCATTTGATCTATTCAAATAACATTAGGTTTAACGAGTACCAAGGTTTGCTGCTACAAGGAAACTAATAAAGTGTGTGTTTTAAGTAAAATGATTATTGCTTAGTATAAAATGAATATATTTGCCAAGTTTGATCAAAAGATATCCATAAACAAGCAAACTACAACATTTTACAATATTCTCCATAAGAATAACATGGGAATTTTAAATTTAAATTTTTTTTAGTTTTCTCCGTAACCAATAACCGTACAAAAACACTTTGATATACTGAATTGTTTGTTTTTTTAAGCTCTTTAAGAAGGTTTAGAAAAAAATTGGAAAATTTTGTGTTTTGAGGGTCAAAAGTGAGAAAAACCAATTTTTACCCCATAAAATCCTGTTCCCATGGTCCGATCATGATAGATCGCGAACTCATTCAAGTTTATCCCGCCTTACACCTTCAAACCAAATTTCATCAAAATCGGATAAAAATTACTCAAGTTATTGTGTTCACGGACACATATATATATAAATCTATATATATATATACATATACATATATAAAAATTTGAACGAATGGTGCTTTTGGCCTCTGGGGACATCAAAATGAAAAAGTAAATCGGTCCCGGGCCCAAGTCTTACCATGAGACCTACGGTAATAGCTACTTCCCTATAGGGAAATTCGCTAAAAACCCATGAAAATAACTTGTTATTTTGAAGTAGAATATTAGGTAAACTTGTTGGTTGTATTTTGGCTTGTTTATGGATATTTGACTTAAATTTTAATTTTTTGTACAATTCAATACCAATCTAAGTACATTTTACCAGGAACACACTTTACCTTCCCTGTATCTTATAACACTAAATCAGCAAACATACATATTTTAAAACAAGAGAACAAATCTTACATTGACATGGGTGATGAGTATACTACACTTTTCAGTACTGCACCTACCGAGCTTACATGGCAATTAAATATTTTTTAAAGATTTTATTGAAGGAAAGACTTATTTCAAATAGTTATATTCCCACTTGGTGTGAACAATTTAGAATATATATAAAAAATAAACAAAATATATAATTAAGATGTTTTTGTAAATAATTTAAATTATATAGTTAACACAAAACGATGAGAGAGTATTTTAGTATTTGTTTTGATAGAAGAAGTAAAATATCAATAGGGTTATCCCAATCGAGAGGGCTCTCAATTAATTATTTAGTTTTTGTTATTATATAAAATTGTTTTTCTATTATTTGTGTTCACTTATTTACATTAAGTTTCTCTATAACCTCTACAGAGAGGACAAGAACACAAGAATGCAATACAAGAATACTTTATTTTACAATTTTTAAGATTGAAAAAGGCATCAATACAATATGTTATCGATTAAAAATCTTTGTTGATTGGAGTCCTTGCAGTAGAAATATGATTTAACTTGTAACGTAGTCACTCTAGTTGCTGCCAAGAAAAATATTCATCAATGCTGTAGAAAGGTCAAAATGCTGTATACTGGCTGTTTCAGTAGAATTTAACAGCCAGGATGTTCCTTCTTCAGTCTTCTAGAACAGAGAAACTTTACATGTTATTTAAATAAGGAGGCTCGTGTAGGATGAATGAGCAATTCTTGGCTAAACTGCAATGTTAAAACTTTAACAAGTCTATTTGGGTTGAATGGAGCATGTTCTCGAGAAATAAACATTTGCAGACAAACTAATGCTAAAATTCATTGAACATCCACAACATTTTATTCACTGGTATTTAAGTACGAGTTAGATAGTAGTTTTATAAATTAACATAATTTAATTATAATGTCCCTTTTGACCAGATTTATTTCTATCTCAAATCATGGTTTTCTCAGTAATTAACAGTTTGAACTTCATTTTTTATGAACAACGACAGCTTATGGTTTAAAAAAGTATAACTCATACCTATTTTAAAATCAAGACAAATGTAGGTTTATTTTAGCAATAGCAATGGTTTATCTGTATTAGGCCTAAGGCCCCGTTTATGCACCAAGAGCGGTAGCGACAGCGGGAGCGATTTCTAACACCATTGAGTTAAATGGGGCTGTTTTTGCACCAAGAGCGATAGCGATAGCGGTTGACCCCCCGCTGCGGTTTCTAATTCGCCCGCTGTGTAGTTAGAAATCACAGCGGTTGCTTGGAATAGAGCGGTTTTCAACTACATTGAGTCAAATGAGACTGTTTATGCACGGCGGGA